TTTTTTAACATACGAAGCAAACGAAGATAGATGTAAATAAATCTACACACTGGTGGATGACGTAAGTCGGCCTCACGGTTATGACGTCACGCGAAGTCGTTCGCCTAATCTTCTACCGGAGGTCACGGATCGCATCAACACTGCATGAGTCTTTTTCAGAACTCTTGATGGCGTGCATTGCTAAGTCATTTTATATAACTTAGTCACAGTTATAACCTAAAGCTTCATTTTCCGGGATGCTGGTTGAACGTGACAATTTTTTTTTCCACCAAAGCATCTACCTTCCTACCTACACCGAATTAGTCTAGCTGACTATGCTAATTAACTAGATCCACGAATCTTTGACATCACAAGTGTAACATACATTAGAGATGAAGATGAAGCCACAATAGACTGATCGGTCGGTTTGTTCCCTCGGGCTACCACTTTAAAGTTTACAACCCTGAGATAAATAAACCTCAGTCTTAATGACAAACTAACAGGGCAGACTCCAGATAGCCCGTTCAAACCCATTCTCACAGAAGCTATAAATAGGGCTCATTTAACGGCAACACTAGCTCGATATAGCCCGCATTTTCAGGCGGGTAAAGAAATGGCCTGGTGTACCATCTTCTCCTTGTTTGTTTAGGGTCCCCATTGTTGGAGAAAAAGAACAAATCAACTACCCCCTAACAAAGATAAGGTCAAGATTGACTAACAGCGGGCGTTTCTTTCCAAGTCGGATTGCGTCTGCCTAGGGAATCAACAGTCTGCACACAAATAAGCCGGACCTGCAGAACGGATGTGCACGCAAAACTCATTAGAATGTGACTAAAAATCAGAGGGAAATGAACAGTCAGAACTTTCCGTCGAAATTTGGAGCAGGTGAGCGCAAAGAGAAGAAGAAGAAGAAATGTACTACCTGGTTTGTCGGATATCAGTCTACATTTCTTCACTAGCGCGAGCGCCCACCCCTTGATTCGCTGGAGTGTGCTAATTTCTCCCCTAAACCCCAATACTAATTCCATTATAGTCATAAGATTCGGTGCAAAGACCGCTTACTGAATGTAGCAGTTCTAGAGTTAGTAGTAGTAGTAGCAGCAGCAGAAGCAGCAGTATTAGTAGTAGTAGTAGCAGCCATTTAATACATTTATGTATTATTTAAACAGGTCCCATTTTCATTCATTGTCTCTATAGCTATTTGCAGCGCCCGTGCCCGACTTTTACATTTAGTTCATCATCATCATCATGGTGCCTTGCCGACAGGCGTGGGCGATCATGCCTCTCCATAATCTGCGATCTCCTGCAGCATGTATCAGTTCGTGTGCTGACACACCTCCATCCACTGGAATCCCCATTCACGTCGTTATCTGAATATGTATTATTTTGAGGCATGATTTTTTGGGGATAGTACAGCGGTGGTTTCCCCTTGCCTTCCGCCGGTTTGTATATGGTTTGACTCCAATAGCCTTTGTCTAAAGAGACTTACCCTGCAAGGCAGCAGGGGGGGGGGGGGGAGGTTATGGCGCCTCTTACCCGCCGATGGCCATGTCGTAGAGTTTTGAGGTATTTAATAGATTTAGCTGTTCCACCAACTAACTCGCCTCCTCTCAATGACAATCACCTGTTTTGGTCCACGGCCACTTATTCAATATATTCGTGGCTAACCTCTATATCTAGAGGCCTTTTCACCATCCGCCACCTGGTGGACGCGCCTAGTAGTAGGACAGGCTCCTACCCCAGGTACATTTAGTTATCTCTGTGAAAACAATTATATGACAAAATTCCCACTTATCCCGTTATTTGTCCGTGTATTATACTAAGATGATTTTTTTCTTAAATGTTTTAAAGTTTAAAATGGGGGTGGGTGGTGTTAGTCTTTTACACGGAATGAGCCCCGCTGGCTAGCTCAGTTGGTTAAACCTGACTGCGCAGCGACCGAAAGAAGAACTCCTTGTGGTCCGGGTTCACGCCCGGGGGTAGACTGAAAAGCCAAATTTCTCCCAGGTTTACGGTATCTATCATGGAATCAAGGCCGAACAGTAGTAGTATATTTTTACCACACTAGGACATCATACAAGCGATAAACACCCGATGACACAAAGTGTCACCATGTGAATGAGGATCACCCGTGGAGAGGTCCCAGAAACCGCGGTCAGCCATTAGCATTCCGTGTATTAAATATAAACCTTTTGGGTCGGCACTATGGATACCGCATCTCTTCCGCCTTGTTGACCCGTTCACATACATTATCCAGTCATCTCCTTGTGAGATGCAATTTTTTGTTATTTTGAAGCGCCACCCTGGCTCTTGCCAGGGGCCGCAATATAGCCTGATCATACATATGCTCTAATGTAATTAACATATTTTAAAAAATATTTTAGACTAAAAAAAAAAAAATTGGTGGTCTTATACAGTGGAGCGTCTTATACACAGATAATGCGTTTGTTGATGTTGTTAAGAATACTCACTTTCACAAAATACTTTCCGTTTCTAGAAAAATAAGATATTAAACACTAGTACATTCTCCAAGTTGGCAATATAGGCAGGAAGGAAGTTGTAAACATAAGTCACGTTCGTGTATTTAGTTGATTGTTAGTAGTTGTCATAATGGCCTGGGGAAGATTAATGAAAAATATCAAGACGACAATGCACTAAGTACGCTATGAACTTTTTCAATTATCTGTTAAACAGACATCACGCAAACGAAGCGAAGATTTGAGTCATGTAAATTTCTTTGTGTCTTTTATTTATATAACTGATTTTGATTTTGCACACATCGGTCTGAAACATTCAGGACATTCAATCTGGCATATAGAATAAGAATGCAATGGAATGGCGTCTATTTCTTGAAGAACGAGGAGTAAAAATACTAAAAATAGTACTTACAGAATGACTTGATGGTTTGTATTACTTATGTGTCCAGTGTTAGCATGTATTTTGTGATTATATATGTGAAGAATATATTAAATGGTACAAGTATAAATTAATATTATTCATTTTATACTATTTACCGCATTTATTTAAATTTATTAATATTATTTATAAACTTTATTACAAAAATAGTTATTTATAAAATTTGCAATCAAACAATAATGATCATATAAACTAATAGTATAGGATGTTCAAAAGAAAACCTACGATAAACATTGGTTAAATAAGACAGAGAGGGTACTTTACTGAATTCCGCACAGTGCCATATACTCATATAGTCATATAGTATACCATATCGAAAATAATAAAATATGAACAAGATGGAAAGTAGAAAAGGACACCGAGCTCGGCCGAGCTCCATCTAACACACTGTAAAGTGTAAATCACCCAAGAAGATTAGATTATGATATCAAGCAAACGTTTTGTTTTTGAAACGAACAGTGATGATTTACCACATGAAAATTGAAAGTTATCATATATGAAGTCACATGAAGTAGTGACTTTAATTGTGCAGACTCAGAGAATTAGCCTATTAGGATAAACTGTGGGTGTTACTTGAACTTGAAATAAATCTTGTTTGAAGCAGTGAGTAGTGAGATTTTATTTTACTGACTTACCAATCATATTGGATATCCTGGAATTTCCTTCAAAGATGCTTGTGAAAATGTGGTATTTATTTGAGCATGTAAATTGAGTTATGCTTTTGGAAAGGAACAGGACTTTCTGTGTCTCTGTCTGTCTGCCTCTCTGTCTGTTGACAGGAGATAGGTGATGGGAAAGTGTATCTGTATAGAGCATTTTATTTTCCTTATTCTGCATTCTGCTTGCTTGTTATAAATCTCTCCTACACGGCTGGATCTTGTAGAATTACTTCCTATTAATTATATTAGCAACCTGTAAATAGTTGGACATTTTTAACACCGATAAGGGATAGCTAATTATTATAATTTCTCAGACAACATAAATAAAAACTCCAGATTTGCCATACAGTAATTAACGCTATCATACTATCTTTTAAGTGGCGTCCATGGCTTAGGTGTTGCGAGTTCGATTCGTAATTCCAGCATACCGCAATCAAAATCTACTGCTGGCTGCGTGGATTTTTATCATGGTATGGGGTGTCGCAGGTCGATCCAGCTTAAAATGGGTACCAGAATGTATGTCCTGGGGAAGTAGAGACGGTCTGCATAGTGCTGACCAAATTACCCACCTGCTGCTGATTGGTATTTAAAAATGTGGGTGTTCTTTCCATCTGCCTGATGAAACTAGAGGCGTAAAAAGGGATCTTTACTTATTATACTGTCTATCAACATGACAGTTTGTTAAGAATAATAATGAAACAATTGTATAGTGTTCTGTCATTGTTTCACTCTCTTCTAGAATGATTACAATGAAATTGTTTATAAAAGTGACCACTACATCATCTACTTTATCTACCTGTTACACTGTCACTATCAGCTAGATTATCACATAGCTTATGTTTGTGTATATTGATATATACATACACATATTACTACTTCATCGCTTCCTCTTTTACCACTTCAGATGTTGAGGAAGATATAAGGCTCTGCTTCTTGCTCTTCTGGCCACCTTGACCGTGGACACACTGCATGTTCTATAGTTTCTTTGATGTTATCTTTCCATCTTCTTCTTGGTCTACCTTGTGCTCTATGTCCTTCTACTTGATTTATGTATACCTTGTATTGTATAGTGTCACAGGTCATTCTTTCTGTTTGTTTGTTTTAGAATTTAGAAGCCATGAGTTATTAACCCTTAGGCCCAGCTGTATTATGGATATCGCAACCTTTCGGCCTTGATTCCATTTTAAATACCGTAAATCTGGGAGAAAATGTGGCTTTTCTGCCCACACCCGGGAGTGAACCCGGACCACCAGGAGTTTGTCACCCGCTCACCGCGCAATCCAGTTTTGCCAACTACGCTAGAGAGACGGGCGGTCATTCTCTCTAATGGAGCAAACCATTTGATTTGCTATCTTTGTATATAATTTAGAATTGATATGTACATGTACACATACACATATATTGCTTTATGTTGTCAGGCACAGCATGCAGAATCAACATGGCAATATGTTCAGCGATCAAGATAACGAGGACAAGAGTAGCTTGGAGGCTGCAGCAGAAGCAGCAGCAAAAGTCAATGCTTTGTTGATTGCTAAAGGGATGTTGAAACCAAATCAGATTCATTCAGCAACAAATGTTATCACTAAAAAGGTAACAGTGGTCAACTTATAACATTATTTATTACCAGTGAGTTAGATATTACACATAATACATATTTGCATTAAAAATTCCTCTAATTGTACCTATAACCAGATGGTCCATCTGTTGTTATTGGTAGTTATTACTGATTTATTTTATCATCTCTGCTGTTTTAAAAACTATAGGTTTAAAGTTGAGAGGATTGACTTGAGCAGGATTTGTGCCATATGGCTCGTTTTTTTTCCCACAGATAGGCCACCTGCCCAAAGAAAATAACTGGGTACCACAGAGCTGCAGTAAAAACTGATAAAGTAACTTGATGTTGTAAATGTTTTCTCCTTAGTGTTCGCCGGCTGTATAAACTCTTGACAGAAAGTTCTGGTGGTTTTTCAACGTTTGGACTTTGGTCTTGTTCCGGATCTTGAGTTTTGAGTGCACCTCCAGTTTATATAGATTTGCTTATTTGTATGCAAACTGGTAGTTTCTTGCCGCTGAGGCAGATGCGCTGTCTTCAAAGGGAAACAAACCCTAATTAGTGTCTTTTACGGCATTCTTCTTGGGCGGCAGTGGGTTTATTCTTATTTTCTGCAAATGGAGCCCTGGAACCCACACAGGGATAGTTGTAAGAGTAACACTAATTGCCTATTTAGGTGTGGCACAAATGTATATGTATTTATTACAGTTAGCTAATGTTGCGCTCTGTGGCTCAGGAATTAGTGAAGTACAGTACTCATCATTTTGGGGTCAATGCCCATGGTGGGTGGTTTAGAAGAAGGCCATTCTCGTGGCTTTCAGGCAGTGGTACGAGAGTTACACCATGGAAGAAATCTGAGCCTCACCTTATAATATTCCAAAAGTTAGCAGGATGTACATTGCAGACAGCCTCCATTATAGAGACATAATTATTGATGGAACTAAACCAATTCTTGAAAGTGATGCTGTTTTCTTTGTCTTCACTAGGCTGGAGGACCTAATAGTTTAGTGGTAGCTGAAGTGGAAATTAACAACCTGACAACCCAGTGTCGCAACACACTGACAAAAGGGACTACTCAAGAAGGAGGTGTGTTTTGTGATAGTTTCTTTTTTTTTTCATGAAGAAAGTTGATTTTAATACTAATACACTGAAGCGAATGACACAGTTTGTTTGCTGAATGATTATGTGCCTTTTGTATTATGGTAGTAGTCGGGATTAATTCACAAACCTACAAATTTACTGGTTCTGTATTTGATCCTCAGTAATCAGACATTTGAATTTTCTCAGTGAGGTGTGTTTTGATATTTTGTAGAGACTCAGCCCCATTGCGTTAACTCTCTCATTTTTTGTAATAATTATTACCCTGTTCAGTCTTGACACTTGATAACTAGTTGTTTTATTCCTATCTCTGTTTGTTTGATGACTTAAAAAAACAAACACTTGTTACATTTTAAATCTTATTTTTTGGAGGTATACCTAAAGTAGCGAGTATGTAGGGCTGAAGGAGAAAGCATAAGAGCCACGTAACAGAGAGAGAAAGTGACTGTTCACATAGGAGTGGGTTAACCTAACAGCTGGCTAGGACAGGATTTTATAAAAACTGTATAGAGAATTAATGAAAATACTTTGTGTTGTTTAGTAGAGAAGGGGTTAAATGATAATAGGGAATTCTTTGTAAAGTCAGTCAGTCGGCATAATGTTGGCCATATTACTTACAAAAAAAAAACAAGGCAGGGAGAATTAGAGATTGAAGTGAAAAGTCTCTGTGTGCATTCCAGGGACCCCAATATGGGAAAAACAAGAATAGATCCACTGCCTCTTCAAATAGCATGTCATAGGAGTCGACTAATTGGGAACTTCCATCGAAGTCAGAGTACATCTGCTTGAGCGGCAAGGAACAACTAGCTGCATACAAATAAGCCAGTAAAAAGAATGTGCTTGCAGAACTCAGGCCTTGGCACCAAGGCAGAGCCCAAATGGACAAACAACGGGGACTTTTGGTCAGAGCTTACAGTTGGTGAACAAAGAAGAAGTGAAAACATGGAGAGAACATATCATGAGCTGCCTGTGATAGTCAAGCATAGGCGGATTTGACTATAGAGTTGGTTAAGGGTTTGTGCTCCATTTGGACATAAAAATTAGAAGAAGAAGGCATAGGTAATGATCAGTACTATTAGTATATTAGCTTGCTAATTATATTTAAGTGTTTGGCCTGTTTGAAGTCTGAAAGTATTACTTGTTATTTTCCATAAAGATGTTGACTTAACTCTTTGTTGAATATTGGATATGTGTATCTTCACATTTTGTATGCCTTAAGTGTGTTGATGTATTGCCTTAGCCTCATTATATGACACTAAAATAACTCTACTACTGCAGATCTCAAAGGCGAGTGGAGCAGCTGTCACCACTAGAGGCCGTTTCATTGCTCCAAATGAGAAACCAAAAAATGCAAGGTAAGTTACTTGGCTATGCAAGACATGGAAGCAAATACTTCTTAGTTTTGTTTAATACCTCACTCCATGGGCTATCAGAAGATTGGAACGTACACTGGACAGATGGTTGTGTTGAAATTAATTAATTTGGTTCACAGTTTTAAAACATTGCCTTAACATTTTTTGGCTCAAAATATATAATTGAACTTCTTACTTAGCACTTAAGCAAAAGCAGCATTTTTCAAGATAAAATATATTCAATATATCTTTGTCAACTGAGGTCCTATGGGGTGTTCTCAGCACGTATTGTGAGGCAGTTTTGATGTAGAGAAGAGATTCGTGTGTATTCAACAGGTTAGTGAGAAAGTATGTGCAAGCTGCAGATATGTGGCTCTATAAAATAATTATTAGAATGTCATGGTAGATACAAAGCTTTATGAAAGAAATTAACTCACAAAGAGGAATTGTTAATTGCATCAGAAGCTGATAGTCCAGTCTTTGGGCATGTTGAAAGAAAGAGAAAACTTGTTTGGTGTATCTTGTGATAGTGGGAAGTTGGATTTAAGGAGAGACGTGGAAGTTCGAGAGGCGACAGTTTAACATAGAAGAACATACAAAAATAAAAAAAGGTTGACAATCCATAAAAGAGCATTCTAGGACAGGCATGGATAATCAATATCATATGGCACAGACTATAAAAAGAAGAAACATTTAATTATAATATTTATTACTAATCTGTTGCTCTTCTAACCATGGACATTCTGAATGCTTGTCTTTGTCTCCAAGCTTTGTTACATTCTGAATGCTTGTCTTTGTCTCTCAACTTTGTTACATTCTGAAATGCTTGTCTTTGTTTTCTCACTTTGTTTACATTCTGAATGCTTGTCTTTGTCTCCAGGCTTTGTTAGGATTTGTCTTTCATTCTCCAATTTGTTACATTCTGCATGCTGGTCTTTGTCTCCCAGGGTTTGTTACATTCTGAATGCTTTGTCTTTGTACTTCTGACTTTGTTACATTCTGAATGCTTGTCTTTGTCTCCATGTCTTTGTTACATTCTGAATGCTTGTCTGTCTTGTGTCTCCACTTTGTTACATTCTGAATGCTTGTCTTTGTCTCCACTTTGTTACATTCTGAATGCTTGTCTTTGTCTCCAGCTTTGTTACATTCTGAATGCTTGTCTTTGTCTCCAGCTTTGTTACATTCTGAATGCTTTGTTACATTGTTACTTCTGAATGCTTGTCTTTGTCTCCACTTTTGTTACATTCTGAATGCTTGTCTTTGTCTCCAGCTTTGTTACATTCTGAATGCTTGTCTTTGTCTCCCACTTTGTTACATTCTGAATGCTTGTCTTTGTCTCCAGCTTTGTTACATTCTGAATGCTTGTCTTTGTCTCCCACTTTGTTACATTCTTAATGCTTGTCTTTGTCTCCCACTTTGTTACATTCTGAATGCTTGTCTTTGTCTCCAGCTTTGTTACATTCTGAATGCTTGTCTTTGTCTCCAGCTTTGTTACATTCTGAATGCTTGTCTTTGTCTCCAGCTTTGTTACATTCTGAATGCTTGTCTTGTCTCCCACTTTGTTACATTCTGAATGCTTGTCTTTGTCTTTTGTTACATTCTGAATGCTGTCTTTGTCTCTCACTTTGTTACATTCTGAATGCTTGTCTTTGTCTCCAGCTTTGTTACATTCTGAAGCTTTGTTACATTCTGAATGCTTTGTTTCAGCTTTGTTACATTCTGAATGCTTGTCTTTGTCTCCAGCTTTGTTTACATTCTGAATGCTTGTCTTTGTCTCCAGCTTTGTTACATTCTTAATGCTTGTCTTTGTCTCCCACTTTGTTACATTCTGAATGCTTGTCTTTGTCTCCAGCTTTGTTACATTCTGAATGCTTGTCTTTGTCTCCAGCTTTGTTACATTCTGAATGCTTGTCTTTGTCTCCTCCAGCTTTGTTACATTCTGAATGCTTGTCTTTGTCTCCAGCTTTGTTACATTCTGAATGCTTGTCTTTGTCTCCAGCTTTGTTACATTCTGAATGCTTGTCTTTGTCTCCAGCTTTGTTACATTCTGAATGCTTGTCTTTGTCTCCAGCTTTGTTACATTCTTAATGCTTGTCTTTGTCTCCAGCTTTGTTACATTCTGAATGCTTGTCTTTGTCTCCAGCTTTGTTACATTCTTTTGTCTTTGTCTCACTTTGTTACATTCTGAATGCTTGTCTTTGTCTCCAGCTTTGTTACATTCTGAATGCTTGTCTTGTCTCCAGCTTTGTTACATTCTGAATGCTTGTCTTTGTCAGCTTTGTTACATTCTGAATGCTTGTCTTTGTCTCTGAATGCTTGTCTTTGTCTCCAGCTTTGTTACATTCTGAATGCTTGTCTTTGTCTCCAGCTTTGTTACATTCTGAATGCTTGTCTTTGTCTCCAGCTTTGTTACATTCTGAATGCTTGTCTTTGTCTCCAGCTTTGTTACATTCTGAATGCTTGTCTTTGTCTCCAGCTTTGTTACATTCTGAATGCTTGTCTTTGTCTCCAGCTTTGTTACATTCTGAATGCTTGTCTTTGTCTCCAGCTTGTTACATTCTGAATGCTTGTTTTGTCTCCAGCTTTGTTACATTCTCTTTGTCTCCCACTTTGTTACATTCTGAATGCTTGTCTTTGTCTCCCACTTTGTTACATTCTGAATGCTTGTCTTTGTCTCCCACTTTTGTTACATTCTGAATGCTTGTCTTTGTCTCCACTTTGTTACATTCTGAATGCTTGTCTTTGTCTCTGAAGCTTGTCTTTGTTACATTCTGAATGCTTGTCTTTGTCTCCCACTTTGTTACATTCTGAATGCTTGTCTTTGTCTCCAGCTTTGTTACATTCTGAATGCTTGTCTTTGTCTCCAGCTTTGTTACATTCTGAATGCTTGTCTTTGTCTCCAGCTTTGTTACATTCTGAATGCTTGTCTTTTGTTACTCTCAATGCTTGTCTTTGTCTCCAGCTTTGTTACATTCTGAATGCTTGTCTTTGTCCCACTTTGTTACATCCTGAATGCTTGTCTTTGTCTCCCACATTCTGAATGCTTGTCTTTGTCTCCACTTTGTTACATTCTGAATGCTTGTCTTTGTCTCCAGCTTTGTTACATTCTGAATGCTTGTCTTTGTCTCCAGCTTTGTTACATTCTGAATGCTTGTCTTTGTCTCCAGCTTTGTTTTCTGAATGCTTTCTTTGTCTCTCACTTTGTTACATTCTGAATGCTTGTCTTTGTCTCCACTTTGTTACATTCTGAATGCTTGTCTTTGTCTCCAGCTTTGTTACATTCTGAATGCTTGTCTTTGTCTCCAGCTTTGTTACATTCTGAATGCTTGTCTTTGTCTCCCACTTTGTTACATTCTGAATGCTTGTCTTTGTCTCTCACTTTGTTACATTCTGAATGCTTGTCTTTGTCTCCAGCTTTGTTACATTCTGAATGCTTGTCTTTGTCTCCAGCTTTGTTACATTCTGAATGCTTGTCTTTGTCTCCCACATTCTGAATGCTTGTCTTTGTCTCCACTTTGTTACATTCTGAATGCTTGTCTTTGTCTCTCACTTTGTTACATTCTGAATGCTTGTCTTTTGTCTCTCAGCTTTGTTACATTCTGAATGCTTGTCTTTGTCTCCACTTTGTTACATTCTGAATGCTTGTCTTTGTCTCCACTTTGTTACATTCTGAATGCTTGTCTTTGTCTTCTCACTTTGTTACATTCTGAATGCTTGTCTTTGTCTCTCACTTTGTTACATTCTGAATGCTTGTCTTTGTCTCCAGCTTTGTTACATTCTGAATGCTTGTCTTTGTCTCCAGCTTTGTTACATTCTGAATGCTTGTCTTTGTCTCTCACTTTGTTACATTCTGAATGCTTGTCTTTGTCTCCAGCTTTGTTACATTCTGAATGCTTGTCTTTGTCTCCAGCTTTGTTACATTCTGAATGCTTGTCTTTGTCTCCAGCTTTGTTACATTCTGAATGCTTGTCTTTGTCTCTCACTTTGTTACATTCTGAATGCTTGTCTTTGTCTCTCACTTTGTTACATTCTGAATGCTTGTCTTTGTCTCCCACTTTGTTACATTCTGAATGCTTGTCTTTGTCTCCAGCTTTGTTACTGAATGCTTGTCTTGTCTCCCACTTTGTCTTCTGAATGCTTGTCTTTGTCTTTGTTACATTCTGAATGCTTGTCTTTGTCTCCAGCTTTGTTACATTCTGAATGCTTGTCTTTTTGTCTTCTCAATGCTTTGTTACATTCTGAATGCTTGTCTTTGTCTCTCACTTTGTTACATTCTGAATGCTTGTCTTTGTCTCCAGCTTTGTTACATTCTGAATGCTTGTCTTTGTCTCTCACTTTGTTACATTCTGAATGCTTGTCTTTGTCTCCAGCTTTGTTACATTCTGAATGCTTGTCTTTGTCTCCACTTTGTTACATTCTGAATGCTTGTCTTTGTCTCCACTTTGTTACATTCTGAATGCTTGTCTTTGTCTCCAGCTTTGTTACATTCTGAATGCTTGTCTTTGTCTCCAGCTTTGTTACATTCTGAATGCTTGTCTTTGTCTCCAGCTTTGTTACATTCTGAATGCTTGTCTTTGTCTCCCACTTTGTTACATTCTGAATGCTTGTCTTTGTCTCTCACTTTGTTACATTCTTAATGCTTGTCTTTGTTTCCAGCTTTGTTACATTCTTAATGCTTGTCTTTGTCTCTCACTTTGTTACATTCTGAATGCTTGTCTTTGTCTCCAGCTTTGTTACATTCTGAATGCTTGTCTTTGTCTCCAGCTTTGTTACATTCTGAATGCTTGTCTTTGTCTCCAGCTTTGTTAGATTATGAATGCTTGTCTTTGTCTCCAGCTTTGTTAGATTATGAATGCTTGTCTTTGTCTCTCACTTTGTTACATTCTGAATGCTTGTCTTTGTCTCCAGCTTTGTTACATTCTGAATGCTTGTCTTTGTCTCCAGCTTTGTTACATTCTTAATGCTTGTCTTTGTCTCCCACTTTGTTACATTCTTAATGCTTGTCTTTGTCTCTCACTTTGTTACATTCTGAATGCTTGTCTTTGTCTCCAGCTTTGTTACATTCTGAATGCTTGTCTTTGTCTCCAGCTTTGTTACATTCTGAATGCTTGTCTTTGTCTCCAGCTTTGTTACATTCTGAATGCTTGTCTTTGTCTCCCACTTTGTTACATTCTGAATGCTTGTCTTTGTCTCCAGCTTTGTTACATTCTGAATGCTTGTCTTTGTCTCCAGCTTTGTTACATTCTGAATGCTTGTCTTTGTCTCCCAATTTGTTACATTCTGAATGCTTGTCTTTGTCTCCCACTTTGTTACATTCTGAATGCTTGTCTTTGTCTCCCACTTTGTTACATTCTGAATGCTTGTCTTTGTCTCCAGCTTTGTTACATTCTGAATGCTTGTCTTTGTCTCCAGCTTTGTTACATTCTGAATGCTTGTCTTTGTCTCCAGCTTTGTTACATTCTGAATGCTTGTCTTTGTCTCCAGCTTTGTTACATTCTGAATGCTTGTCTTTGTCTCCCACTTTGTTACATTCTGAATGCTTGTCTTTGTCTCCAGCTTTGTTACATTCTGAATGCTTGTCTTTGTCTCCAGCTTTGTTACATTCTGAATGCTTGTCTTTGTCTCTCACTTTGTTACATTCTGAATGCTTGTCTTTGTCTCTCACTTTGTTACATTCTGAATGCTTGTCTTTGTCTCCAGCTTTGTTACATTCTGAATGCTTGTCTTTGTCTCTCACTTTGTTACATTCTGAATGCTTGTCTTTGTCTCTCACTTTGTTACATTCTGAATGCTTGTCTTTGTCTCCCACTTTGTTACATTCTGAATGCTTGTCTTTGTCTCCCACTTTGTTACATTCTGAATGCTTGTCTTTGTCTCCCACTTTGTTACATTCTGAATGCTTGTCTTTGTCTCCCACTTTGTTACATTCTGAATGCTTGTCTTTGTCTCCCACTTTGTTATTCTGATGCTTGTCTTTGTCTCCATGTTACTTGTCTTTTGTCTCTCACTTTGTTACATTCTGAATGCTTGTCTTTGTCTCCAGCTTTGTTACATTCTGAATGCTTGTCTTTGACTCCAGCTTTGTTACATTCTGAATGCTTGTCTTTGTCTCTCACTTTGTTACATTCTGAATGCTTGTCTTTGTCTCTCACTTTGTTACATTCTGAATGCTTGTCTTTGTCTCCAGCTTTGTTACATTCTGAATGCTTGTCTTTGTCTCCCACTTTGTTACATTCTGAATGCTTGTCTTTGTCTCCAGCTTTGTTACATTCTGAATGCTTGTCTTTGTCTCTCACTTTGTTACATTCTGAATGCTTGTCTTTGTCTCTCACTTTGTTACATTCTGAATGCTTGTCTTTGTCTCCAGCTTTGTTACATTCTGAATGCTTGTCTTTGTCTCCAGCTTTGTTACATTCTGAATGCTTGTCTTTGTCTCTCACTTTGTTACATTCTGAATGCTTGTCTTTGTCTCTCACTTTGTTACATTCTGAATGCTTGTCTTTGTCTCCAGCTTTGTTAGATGATGAATGCTTGTCTTTGTCTCCCACTTTGTTACATTCTGAATGCTTGTCTTTGTCTCTCACTTTGTTACATTCTGAATGCTTGTCTTTGTCCAGCTTTGTTACATTCTGAATGCTTGTCTTTGTCTCTCACTTTGTTACATTCTGAATGCTTGTCTTTGTTTCTCACTTTGTTACATTCTGAATGCTTGTCTTTGTCTCTCACTTTGTTACATTCTTAATGCTTGTCTTTGTCTCTCACTTTGTTACATTCTGAATGCTTGTCTTTGTCTCCAGCTTTGTTACATTCTGAATGCTTGTCTTTGTCTCCAGCTTTGTTAGATTATGAATGCTTGTCTTTGTCTCTCACTTTGTTACATTCTGAATGCTTGTCTTTGTCTCTCACTTTGTTACATTCTGAATGCTTGTCTTTGTCTCCAGCTTTGTTAGATTATGAATGCTTGTCTTTGTCTCTCACTTTGTTACATTCTGAATGCTTGTCTTTGTCTCCAGCTTTGTTAGATTATGAATGCTTGTCTTTGTCTCTCACTTTGTTACATTCTGAATGCTTGTCTTTGTCTCTCACTTTGTTACATTCTGAATGCTTGTCTTTGTCTCCAGCTTTGTTAGATTATGAATGCTTGTCTTTGTCTCCCACTTTGTTACATTCTGAATGCTTGTCTTTGTCTCCCACTTTGTTACATTCTTAATGCTTGTCTTTGTCTCCAGCTTTGTTAGATTATGAATGCTTGTCTTTGTCTCCAGCTTTGTTAGATTATGAATGCTTGTCTTTGTCTCCAGCTTTGTTAGATTATGAATGCTTGTCATATGCCAGGTTTTGTGGCACAAAGCGATGTTCATTCACCTTCGCTATGAATGACCATGCACTTGGTCTGCCCTCAACACAAAGCCATGTATAGACAATCACATCACCTGGGTGAGAATCGTTGAAATTTGATTCTGCAGCACCATCTGGCCAGTCCCAAGGTGATTAGAATCCTACACAAGTCTGAAAACTGATTGGACACTTGGACCCACTCATCTTCTTGCCTTAGTTTATAAAGCCTGCACACATGTCCAACTGTATCTTCAGCTTGCGCCATCAAAGACTTTCCTCGGATATTTGTTGCAAGTAAATGATATATCATTTTGTAAATCTTCATTCTTTTGTCGGCGTGATTTTGACCACATCACCCACCGAGTAATTTTTGGTCGGTAAAATATAGGTCTAGCCCTGCATGCCCATTATGCCTGAAGTCATAGAAAAGGGTACTTTACTAAATTATCCTATTGGGCTGTTTGTACATCATGTAGCGTTCAAAGTCATTTCCTATATTCTCTTCTATTATGAACGGAATCCAGTTTATAAGTCACTTTTCTTTGATGCTCATGTTTGTACATGATAACATTGATAAACACACAAGACTTTTTCTGTTCACAGTTGCTGTACAGAAAATTAATGAAATCATCAGGAGCATGTGTGGCAACCGTGTTGAGCAAAAGGGATATCACATAAATTCACACCGAGGAGGCAAGATGAGACCTCCGTTTAAGATGAACATGGGCAACAGTCACTTCAACTTGAGAGGCCGGCCGCCGCCTCCTTTAATGTCTTTGCCTACACCTCCTCCGCCACTGTGTCATCAGATGCCTCCCTTGCCGCCACCAGTACCACAGAGTGTCAGTAGAGTTTTTTCTTTTAAAAATGTTGATGCTTTCACTTTGTTACACCACATCATCATCATGTGCTGTGCTGTCCCTGTGTGGGTTCCTGGGCTCCATTATGGGGGGGGGGGGGACAAGAATAGAGCCACTGCCTCCCCAACAAGCGTGTCTTAGGAGTCGACTAATTGGTGGTTTCCTTCGAAGTTGGAGTGCATCTGCCCAAGAGACAAGAAACCAAGAGTCTGCATACAAATAATCCAGACCTGTAAAATGGATATGCACACAACACTCAATTCCTGGAACAAGACTAAAGTATGGAGGTGGGTAAGCAACCAGAACTTTCCATAATTCAAAATTTTTCTTAGTAAAAAAACAGCTGTGCAAACAGGGTTTAAAAAGGAATGCATTTTAAAGATCTATTTCTGCATTCTTTGAAGCATGTATAGCTTATTTATCTACATTTTCCTGCTCATTACATATGCACACATTTGAAAAATTGTATATCCATTTGTTTTTTACCTCAAGACTTCATTTTAGTAGCAAATTGTTCCGTTTCTTGAGGCCCGTACAACCAGTATCATGGGACACCTCATAAAAGAACAAATTTCATTGGTCCATCTATTAAGGATATGCTTTATTCAGCCAATCAGTGCACTCCTCATCTCATACATAACTTTCAAAGCCGTTTTCTCAGAGTAATGTGTTTGTATATTTCAAAATTATTGGGCTAAATGTAACTTTAGTTATGATTGTATGAAAATTTTAAACAAAATTGGACCTTAATATAACAAAATCTAACTTAGATACAGAATTGACAGAGGTTCAGATGATATCTAAACAATATCTGAGCACAAACATTTAGCTGCATATATCAATTACTCTTTTTAGCAGGATTGACATCGCAACTGCAACTAATTTACTCAGATTTACTCATCACCGAAATATGTACCTTCATCAAATGGAAATAAGTATGAAATTAACATACAAAACTGGATTTCTCTGTGATTTATTGTTTATATGATAGATAAGGAAGGCCCATTTAAAATTTCATAAAGCTGTGACCATATTTAGATGTCTTTAACCATTAGCAAAAACTTGCACAATTTATGATTTTCCATCTTATTCCCTCCCCTTATGTCAATTTAAAAAACAAAAAATATAGTCATGCCTACTATGTTTACACATTATGCAGTTGCAGCAAGTACTAAATCTGTTATATAAGTGCAGTGGCCACTGCCCAGAGACTTTGTTATCCTTAAAAAAAATATAAGTGCAGTGGCCACTGCCTAGAGACTTTATGGCATCCTTAAAAAAAATATAAGCGTAGTGGCCACTGCCCAGAGACTTTATGGCATCCTTTAAAAAAAAACAACTTATAACCGGTGACGTTACAGGGTTAAGTCTAATGCAGAATGTTGCTGTTGCAACTTAAGATTCTTGATTCATCAAATCTTGATCCTTCCTTAAATTTTTTTTATTTTGTGTTTCTGTATTAAAGCATGACACTGCTTATGAGCAAGTTTTCTTTTGGTGTTTAGATCTTGTAAAGTATCCCTACCTCCCCTTTTCTTGATCCTCTGTTTTTTTTAAAAATATTTTTATTTTTTAAATTTATAGAATTCTAACATTCACATTCAGAAATCTCAGTTTTCTTCTTTTTCTTTATTCATTGTGAAGTAATCCATGATTCACTCTTGTATAATGGTGAAAGAAGAAAAAAATTTGCGTCGTTTTTCAATTTCCCCATATATTCAATTGAGATCATATAAAAACTGTTAAAATTTCCGCAAAATAAAATAGGAGTGTACTGAAGTCGCAAATCTTTATGATCTTGTAAGCCGTGCAGACATTTTAAGTCATTTTCTTGTCTTCAGCCTTTCTGGAAATATGAAATTTGTATTACTTCATTCAGTATTTTTTTTTTTTTTTAAAACGTGTATGATATTTTTGTTCACAGGTAACAGTAATGCAAGAGAATTTATACATTGGGCTAGAACATGCTCCACCAAATTTTGATACCAAAAACAAGCTTTTGGGACCTGGTGTATGTCTTAAAATGAGTGAATTGTGTTTTTTGTTTGTTTTTGTTGTTGTTGATATTGTTTGATATGCACCACTATTTGCCCTCAAGAAAATAACTGTTTGTTAACAAAAATCAGCAGAAACAGTCAAACTCACTGTTAAAATTCCAAAATTATAATTAATTTTAATGACAGTGTTTTTCTTAAATGAAGCCTTAGTCGAGGTTTCAACTTCATTGCAATCAGGTGACCCCATATGTCTGTCACTGTCCAATTCGAAATACTTGTAAATACTTGTGAACAAATAGTTAGTCATAGATGAAGAGATGGGATAAAAGCCTGGAAAAGCAAAAATATTGTAATTGCTAATCACTGTCATGTTTTTTGGATAAGAGTTTTATTGCTGATGATAATATATTGATTGAAATTAATATTAAATTTACTGAATTTTTTACTTTTCACTAAAGGCGTAAACAGTCATATGTAGATTTAAACTGTAGTATAATCTACACATCAGAAGAGAGGGATGACCATCTGTATCTCTAAAACTAGGGTGATCTCAAGAGAGAAGAAGAAACACCAAAACATGATGGGACAGTATTCATTGAAGCAGGACTTTTTCAGGTCATAAACCGAGGGTTTCTCAGCAAAAGCTAAATTAACAATAAGACCAAAATGGCTGTTTACCGCTATGCCTATGTGCAAGTCCTGATCTATGCGTGTGAGTCAGTGGCAATGACAACAGCTCACAGAAACCATCTTGTGGCATCAGGAATGAGGTATCCGAGAAAGGTGGTCAAAGTGACAAGAAGGGGTGAAGTTCGTAACCAGACAGTACGTCAGGATCTTGAAACTCAGGCCTTACAAACTCCAGTGGATTAGTCACAGTTACAGTAACAATGGTTTGGACATGTGTGCAGAATGGGAGCTAATTGGCCAGTAATGTAAAAATGTGGGCAAATGTAACAGCTAGAAGGGTCACATGGAGCTCAGAAAAGTATATCACATGAGTGGAAGCCCACAAACTTCAGGTGAGTTGCTTGGTAGTGATTCAGTTAATGAGAGTTTGCTGTTGAATACACTGGAGTGCAGAATCCAAGGGAAAAGGAGCACACATGAGATGTCTAAGAAGAATCTGCATCATACAAGTGTGAAAGAATAAGAACACAAGGCACAAACTTAGGCAGAACTGTGAAGTGAATTAATTAGAAAAGGGAACAGTTACCTGATATGATCAGAGACATCTGAAACAAATGTTACGACTAACTTAATAATGATCTTCTTTCTGTGTGTTTAACTATAAAAGGACAGTTGGCTAAGATTGTGGTTGTTGGAAATCTGTGATTTTCAGCCCAGTACATCTGATTTCCGTCAACTGGATCTCTGAGAGGGTTCTGGGCTCCACTATGTGGAAAACAAGAATAGGCCCACTTCCTCCCCTACAAGCATGTCATAGGAGTTGACTAATTGAGGACTTTCTTCGAAGTCGGAGTGCATCTAGCGGCAAAGAATAACCATCTGCACACAAATAAGCCAGTAAAACAGGTGTACATGCAAAACTCAGGCCCTGGCACAAAGCCAAAGTCCAAATGGGTGAACAACTAGACTTTCCGTTAAAGCTTACTGCCGGTGAACAAAGAAGATGAAGAAGTCAACTGGTAGTTAGTCACTTTTTGCAACATACTTGTTGACAAGGAGCGTGGGTCTGTTCTCTCACTAACACTCCCCCTCCCTCCTTTTTCATTAGGGGCTGGAAACCACACGGGGAGATAATGGTAATCTTGACATAATGTTGCCAGATTCAGCTTATTCATTGGTTGTAAATGTATTGTCACACAGGGAAGTTACTTGCAACATATACATGCTGAAACAGGGGCTCATGTAAGTCTAAGGGGAAGAGGATCAGGCTGCTTTGACCTAAATGGAGCAGATTCGATTGAACCTATGCATGTCCACATCGAGTGAGTGTTTTATTAGTGTTCATCTTCTTATTTTTATGTTTTCACCCTTAAAAGAGCAGCTGGTACGTTGTGTTGTGGTTTACAGCTTGGCTGTGATATCTCCGACCATTTGGCCCAACACGTTTGATTTCGGCAGCCCCTTAATTGGTCGTCTTTTATGACATGCTTGTTATGGGGCGGTGGGTCTGTTTTTGTTTTCCCTCCAGTGGTACCAGAGAACCCACACACGAAAATATTGAATGTAAATGGAGAGTATTTCCAGACAGGTACACACAGTGTTTGTATGTTTCTGTCACTAGTTTTCCTTACTTTGACTGTCATTACCAGATAGCTTTACTTTACCATGCTCTATTCCTTCAAAGTCAGAGATCATCTGCACGAGCGGCAAGGAACATCCAACTGCACACAAATAAGCCAGTAAAATGGATGTACACGCAAAACTCAGACCCTAGCACAAAGCAAAAGTCGAAGTGGACGAACAATTAGGACTTTCTGCTGGAACTAACAGCCAGTGAACAGAGAGGAAGAACAACATGCTCTGTCTGAAAGAATTGTAAACAGATAACACATTTCTGAAGGAGTAAAATAGTTTTTTTAAACAGAAAGTGTTAGTGAGTGTAACAACTAGGATATAGTGAGGTAATGTAACCATTTGATGAGACAAAAGGCAAAAAACATTAAGTAACGATCAACCAGAAGTGTGAGTTACTTCATACTTCTTCTTTGTCTTCATTTTAATCTTTTTTTTTCCCACTTCTTTTTTGACTTCTTTTATGTTCATCTTTAAAAGGGTGGTTGACAGGTTGTGTCTTGGGTTACAGCTAGGCTATAATATCTACACTTTTTGGAATTCTTCGATGCTGAAGGAGAGGAATGTGTTTCTGGTGTTTGTTACTCAAATAGCAAATGTTTGGCCATCACTTACCAACTCCACAGTTAAGTTCATCAGTTGCTGCTATCTGTAGCATGTTGGACAGGTGATATCTCTGTTGTGTCCTATGCAACATCCAAAGATTTTTAGCTTTTTTACTTTGATGGTTACATGCATCATCTTTCTGTAGAACTGACTGCTGTGATGTGATTTCTAGTTGGTTCCGCAGCTGCTTTACATAAATCTTTTGGCCTCTTTATGAGTAGTGACTATCAGGCTGAAATAGATTTCCATCTTTCTTTGCCAGTTTGTCAGCCTCTTCATTTTGCTATGAGGTAGTATCCGCTGCATTAAAATATTTTGATTTCTGACATAGATCATGTAAGAACAATGTTGATGTCTGAACTGTGCGTAGTATAAGCATTCATTTTTTTTTCTATGTACTTTATTTTCAGGCATGAATCATTACTTGGTTTGCAGGAAGCTAAAAAACTTGCTGAAAATCTGATACAAACAGTAAGTCTAATCTATTCTCTTTATATTAATATATGAATTGTTTATTAAGTTGATCTTTTAGTTTAGTCTCTGTTTGTGTGGAGTGTATATCATCTGTTATTGCTTTCCGCTAACGTTTATGGATAAAGCTGATGAAACTGAATATCTTTGAAGTTTCTTTTTCTCTGTGATTTCTTTTTTTTAAAAATGTTTCCTCCTTTCATAATCTGGCCACTTTTTATCTGATGTTTGTTTGTTTATTTATCACCATGGTACATCTCATCAAGCCCTCATATGGACGCCGGAAAGGAAAATAAAAAAGGGGAAGACCAAGGAGACCCTGTGTAGAACCATCATCAGGGAAGGCTCAACCATCGGCCTAATGAATATCCAAGGCCTAAATCAGTTGGCAACGAACCGCCAGACATGGAGAGCTATGACCTCTGCCCTATGCGCTCACCTAGGAGGAAAGACTAAAGACTAACTTACTAACATCTCAACTATGGAGCTGTGGTAATGTGGGGATTAGAATGTTTGCTCGCTGACTTATCAGTCTTGTGTTCACATGCTTCTTTGAGGCAGGGATTATTCAGTTTGAACTGGGATTTTAAGTTAACGTTGCCTAAAAAATGGTTCCATTAAATTTTATAGGAAGTGGTCAATATGGTATTGACCACTCATTGTGTGTTGGTTTGAAAAAATAGTTAAATAGCACCATGTACACAGTACGTTGCAACAGGAGAATGTCCTTATATCGTAACTGTGTTTAACGAATCCACATTTTTTTCCTATATGTCTAGTTTCTACTAATCGATATTTGAATATAGATGCTATAGTGAAGACATGGCAGGTAACTGATTACAGTTTGCTAGTGATCAGTGCTTCTGAGATGGGGGTGTGGCTATGTAGTGTAATTATATTTTCTCCACATTCAGAGACCTACCACAACACCCTGTACTGCAATACCTTCATTCCATTAACTGGTCTGTGCTATTCAGATTGTTACTGTATGAATGTAAAGTATCTTCCAACTTGAAATTCTAGTTTTTTCACAAGAATACTATGACAGCTAGGGAAGCATGTTTAGATGTCTGCTGATATAGACTTCCTAGATAAATTGTTGAAAGATTGTCTCACTGTGTCCTATCCAACACTAGCATCTTTTCATTTCATGATTTGCTGAAATTTATTTCTTTTTCTGTGCTTTGCATTAGTGATTGTTATTCTATTTTAGATCTTATAGTATGAGCAGAGACTAGTTAATGAATGTTTGTAGTTTATTATTCATATTTAGTTGCTCTCTATATTTTGATTATTATGGGGTCATAATTATATTATTAATGATGCTGTTTATTGTTAATGATCACTTGTTTGTAAGCTTTGCGGATGGCAGAGTTGTTATTATGTACACTGAACCTTTTTTTGCTTTCAGGCCCACCAGCACGTCTGGCACAACAGATATACAAGACGGATTTTTGTTTTTCTGTTTGTTAGTATATTTAAAGGGGGAAAAATCTGATTAAATGATATCATCTGCTTTGACCAGTTCTCTTGCTCTTTGGTCCCTTCTCTATATTATCCTTTTGCAAGCCCTCAATTATAATAGAATTGTGTTTCTAGCACTTTTGTATTGCAGAAATTATTTTCTTAGAAATGTGTACAAAAGACCTAACTTAGTGTCAGAACTAAGGGCAGACAAAGTTGAACTTTACAGCAGTTTTCACAGCTTCATTATGTCAAATACAACAAGTTTTATATTCATGTTTGTTTATGTTTCATCCCCCCCCCCACCAGATTACTAGTTAATACACGCTTATTATTCATAATAAATAACATCATTTGGTTTTTTCCAAAGGACAGCCAAGGATGCTTTGGTGTGCATATCAGGTAAAATCTTTATGTGACACTGTCTTCAGGGCCCCACACAGGAAGTGATTATAATTATTTTCACTGATGCATCGATTGTATCTGCTTAATGCAAGGATATCATATTCAGATACAGAAGAGAGAAAAAGAAGATTTATTCGGTGTTAACAGGAAAACTTACAGATAGTATCAGAGGCGCCCCCACTCATCACTACTGGCTTATTGGTTTTCTTATATGACTACTTCATAATTTGGTGTATGCACATAGTTCTGTCAACCAACAGCAAACACTTCCAACTGGCTTAATTATTTGTTCATCTGTCAGGATGCACACATTTATCTTGTAGCGGTGACAGGAAGCTGTGAAAATTGCATTATGTCAGCAAAGTAACTGATCATATTCTTAAAAACGATTATCTCAGTCAGAAAAAAAAAAGCATTGCAACATAGCAGAATCTTGGAACTGGTAAAAATGAGCATTAAATGTCTACACTTTGAGAGGCTGCGTGTGAAAGCTGGCACAATTTAGTAACAGTTGCCATCCTGCAAACACATCATCTTACTTCCCCCTTGTCTTTCTGTGCTCTGTTTGCCCCTTGAGCCTTGCATCCTGGGCAGTTTCATCTTGAGACTGCAGCCCACCACTAACCATGCCAAATTCACTATTTCTAAATAGGTACAGCAAACGTATGTCAGTTTCCAGCAGGCTCTAGCTGCTCTGCCGGTCTCCATGCCAACAGGGCTGATCACTGGAGTACACCAGCAGTGTAAGTCTGCGCTAATTTTTGGCATTAACGGCCAAATGTTAATTTGTATTACACCAGGTTTGAAGTCTTGTCGCTCACCAAACAGAATCCTGGAGTTTCTGGTTCTCATAATATTTAGGGGATTTAATTATATATGTAGTTTTGTTTATTTTGTGTTTGTTGCTACCTTCAGTCAGCATGCAGTACTTACAGATTGAACAGCTTTCTTTTCATTGCTTATTAGGAGAATTAAGAAAGTTATTTTACCATGTTCTGTGAATTCAAGTACTTGAGGTTTAATTCCTTTATATTTGGATTTTGTTGTACCTGGCTTGTCATTTTTGCTTTTTTACATGTTATAGGAGTGTGAAGTAAATAATTGTTATGTTATATTCAATCACTTTCACTTTTTACGTTCTATCTGGTATCTCAAACTTCACCTTCAATTAGTATTCTTTTCTTTTTTCTATTCATATTACCATGACTTGAAAAATGTTTAATTTCTACAAGTTCCTTGATGCTTTTCAAGAAGTATTTTCAAAAGTGAAATGTGTCATCGAAAACTACCACTCATTCAGTAAACCTGTTTTCTTGTCACCAAAGCTTGTACAAACAGGTTTACATTAAGGATGCAGCCATTTTGTACTACTGGAAGAGATACAAAATTACAATGATACAATTATCTTTTCATTTAAAAGATTATAGAGGAAAGAGTTAAAGAATGATACAATTATTTTATAATTGAAATGATAATAGAGGAAAGCATAAAAAACACAAGAGCTAGAAAGTGAATGTAAATGGACAGATGTCATAATATTATCAGGGTGCAGCCTGGCAGAATTTGAAACCATGGCTCAAAATGGAATCTGCTGTCAATGATACCGGATACTGTGATTGATAAACAAGGAATTGTATTTATTTGTCGAGCTGACATCTGTGCTGGAGCATGTACATTAAGAAAAGGATTTCTTATTTGTTCTACTAGTTTTTTTTTGCATCTGCACACCAGAATTGTGTTGAACGACAAATGTGTTTGAATTAATAATAGTAATAATCTCTCTTCTCTTTTGAGACATGTTTTCATAGTCTAGAAGAAACATCTCAGACAGCTTGATTGTAAAATGCATATCCATGCAAGAGATTCCATTTAATTGTTCTGTATTTCAAGACAGGTGAAACCATTTCAGAGCTACATATTTTTTCTTTGTGGAAACAATTGACACACTTATGCTTTATTTGATGTGCCTCTGTCTTTTAAATTGCTTGTTACAACTGTGTTCTCGTCTTGGCTTACTTATTACAGGTGTCAATCATTTCAGCTGTAGGTATTCAGTACAGCTATACACATGTTGATCTCTATGTAGATTATGAGCACATTTGGCAACATTTATTACATTATTATTAATTGGCTCTATGGTGCTTTCACTGCAGAATATAACACTAATATTGTAAATGTTAAAGATGCATTTGTGAATGTTATATTTTTTTAGTCACGTAATAGATATTTTTTTTTCAGAATCTAGTACTGAGTTGTCATCGAGAAGTTCTCCCCAGGGTTGTTATAGGAGCAAGGTTCTGCAAAGGACATGCTACTGACTGAGTACTGCGTTGTAAAGATATTTGCTTTCACCACTGCTTTTCAGCCTTAACAGCCAAATTCTTTTTTCACTGTTGCAGATTTCAAGCTTCATCAGGTGCATCAGTCACTAAACTTACTTTATTAATGCCATTATTGGTTGTTTCCTGATACTGTGTTTCCAGCTTAGAACTGTTATTGAGCATTGGCAGCCATATTTGTGCTGCTGCTGGACGTTGATTTTGTGATGTTTTCTTGAGTTTTACCACCAGACATTGGACATTGATGCAACATACAGAATTATATTTGTAGTACTTGTACACTAAAACTGCAACATATCTTGTTAAACAATTAACAAATGTTTATTAAGTGTCTGTTGAGTCAACAAACCAGACTTCTTTGCACCTAGTCATAATTTCTAGAAGAGCCTTCCTTTGTCTTGTTCATGGTTAGCTAAACAATTTGTGCAGGTACAGTTTTCTGTGTGATAGTGTAGCCGGTGTCACTAGAGTCATAATTAGTTACTGCTTCCAAAATACTTCTAGGTTATACAGACCACCCTTTAGCTCAATAATTATTCAGAACACAAATTCTGCCTGGTACAGAGAAATGTTTAGAGAGAAAGAAGGTAGCTAGCCATTTCTGTTGCCTGGATATTTGATACACCTGTCTGATGGGAACAAGCAATGGAATCAGTAGAGAAAGAAGATTATTATGGCCTGGAGAGAATGAGGCACCTGGGTGAAACCCGAGGGTCTGGCCGGCTCACCACACTTGGAGAAAAGGCAAGACGGACTTTTAACTAGGTTGTGACCGGTACCATCAGTATTGGAACTCTACGCTGGCTGCTGAAGATGAGGGCGGAGTATGCATGGAAATGCCCTGAGTGCTGTGGTGTAAATTCTTGACTCAACTCAACACCTGTCTGATAATACTGTTGCTGGCCGAACAGCTGTCGTGAACAGTCCGAGCTACAGACGGAGGCTCTAGGCAAGCATATACTGTAAACTGTCCTAGCAGATCCTAATTGGCAAACTTTCGTCATGCTGAAAACTCAACAGACATAGTTTCTAATTTTACATGATCAAGGTCTTGGGTCAGGTTGTGTGCTCTTGTATCAATTATGCATGTGACCAGACCATGCAAACGTGTTTTTTTTTTCTTTCCCTTGCTCATTTCCTATTGAGCTTGCTAGTTGCCACTAAGTTTTAAAGTTTCTTTTATTCTTCTTCTTCATGTTCAGCGGCTGTAAACTCCGGCGGAAAGTTCTGGTTGTTCGTCCACTTCTGGACTCTAGCACTGTTCCAGAAACTGAGTGTTGCCTGGACAACTGTTTCACTGGTCTGACTCATTTTCATTCAGACTTGGATCTTTGCCTCTCGGGCAGATGTACTCAACTTTGAAGGATCCTCTGAATTAGTCGACTCTTACGACGTTTTGGGCAGGCAGTGGATTTGTTCTTGTTTTGTCCACAAAGGGGCCACATGGAGAATTCGTCTTTATAATATATGCGTAACAGTTTTGTCTACATCTAATTTCTGTAATCAGTTTATGGTTTTCATCTTTCTTGGAGAACAGGTTGTTTCTTTGTGTTTTCTTTTTATGCTAATTGTTCTTGTTATCTGCAGCTTTTTTTCAGAATCTTTTTTTCTTTCTCATGGCAATATCTCATTTCCCAGTTTGTTTTTTCTTGTGGCTGCAGCTTTTCTCTGTTTCTTTCTTTCTTTCTTTCTTTCTTTCTTTCTTTCTTTCTTTCTTTCTTTCTTTCTTTCTTTCTTTCTTTCTTTCTTTCTTTCTTTCTTTCTTTCTTTCTTTCTTTCTTTCTTTCTTTCTTGTGGCTGCAGCTTTCTCCTATTCTTTGTTTCTCTCTGTCTGTCTGCCTCTCTTTGTCCCCCTCTCTCTGTTTCTGTCTTTTTGCTGTTTTTCTCTGTTATCCATTATGCAGAATGACTTACCAAAATAACAGAGAAAAAAGGGAGCCTGGATGCCGATACACTTCTCTGATAATACCTTTGCTGGCCAAACAACCTTCATGAACATTCAGAGCTATCAATGAAGGCTACTGACACACATTTTTGTAGGAAATTGTTCATTTCCTTTTTTTCAGGTGTCCACCTCACATACAAAGTTCTATATTTAAGAAGGATTAGTGTGTGAAATATTCTTTCAAGTGTTGTTAACAACTGAAAGCTGAGCTTTGGTACGTTAGTTGTGCTTATGTTAATTGTAACGTGTTCTGCTGATATTCAGTTCACTACATAAAAATAATAATTTAAAAAAAAAATATTATTTTTGCTATCTTCTGCTTTTTAAAATTAATCCATAATATACATTTTCTGTTTCTTCCTGTTTCTACTGATAGCACTAATTTATTTTTTCTTTTCGTTAAACATACTGTGCACACTATACACATATAGCTTAGACTCCAAAGGACTGGAGGAGTACGCTGATGTTTGCATAACTTTTTCCCACTGCTATCCTCACATGAATGTTTATTTTTTTGTGTTCATTAAAAATGTATTTCTGGTAGCTCTATCACAAGGATGTCTAACAGCTTTTTCTGATAATTTTGTGTTTGACGGTAGTGTATCCCAGTTAACTGAACAATTGTTCAATTTTCTGATAATTTTGTGTTTGACGGTAGTGTATCCCAGTTAACTGAACAATTGTTCAATTTTTCTGATAATTTTGTGTTTGACGGTAGTGTATCCCAGTTAACTGAACAATTGTTCAATTTTCTGATAATTTTGTGTTTGACGGTAGTGTATCCCAGTTAACTGAACAATTGTTCAATTTTCTGATAATTTTGTGTTTGACGGTAGTGTATCCCAGTTAACTGAACAATTGTTCAATTTTCTGATAATTTTGTGTTTGACGGTAGTGTATCCCAGTTAACTGAACAATTGTTCAATTTTCTGATAATTTTGTGTTTGACGGTAGTGTATCCCAGTTAACTGAACAATTGTTCAATTTTCTGATGCTTACTAGCCGTGTTGAGTATTCCTTTTTATTTAAAGAATGGCACCAGTTAATCTCAGAAGATGGCTTTTACTTATCTGATTGGTTTCGCTTGCCATGTTCTGTCCAGTACCATGTCACCAATACTGTCATTCTGAAGGCACTCTTGTCTTCAGAAAATTTTCCTGTTTCTGTCTATGACCTAGTAGATTCTTTGTGATGCTCTGATTCAGTAATCTCAAGCATCTTTTGTTACATATTCTGTGGTTGACAGCTTCTATTTAATCTTTTCCATGCGATTGTGTGTGTGTTTTTTTTTTTAAATGTTTAAATTCTGTGCCGAAATGGTTTTTATGGTCTTATTCTTTTGAATATTTAGTTTGACTAATATAATAATATATTTTCATTTCAGAAGCTGCTCTAAATGCATTGATATAACTACACTTATAAAATGCTTTCCTTTCAGAAGCTGCTTTGAATGTGTTAATATTTATGGTGTTATAAAAGTGTTATTTTCATTTCAGATTCTCTGAATGCTTTGAAGGACAAACTCAGTATACTTACTGATTGTTGAGAAATTAATAAGTTATGAAAAAAATGTATTGCCAAAGTGTTTGTATATGCTATGTACATTTATATTTATGATTTGGGTTCTCTTGCAGGGGAAATGACCTTTTGCCCAAAGACATTTTATTTTAGCTTGATAGATTCTGATGTCACAGACACACAGTTTTTATAGACTATTCTGAAGCTAATATTATAATCATAATTTTAGATTTTGTATTTTAGAGTTCTATTTATTGTTTACATTCGATCATTTTTTTTAGTTGGGTGGGTTCATGGCATTATTATTATTGTAGTATGCAGTTAACTTTCTCAATGTATTTCTATCTTAAATTTAACATGCTGATGTGTGATGACAATGTTAATTGTGAGCTTGAATGTTTGACAGCTTCATTTGCAGAAGCCCACTTAGGTGTCCCACCACCAGGATTCACAGAGCAATCTTTGCAAGCCATTCATTCTCAAGGTTGGTGTCTAGATATACTTTTTATGTTATGTTGAAGAAGGCTGGTTCATTAATAGCATCATGTCTCAGAAACTGAACTAGAATGATACCTCAGTAAATGTCCACTTTCTAAGAAGTGAACTTGGTTTTTGCTTTGACTATGACCTTTGTTTGGAATATGACTCATATGCTAAAACTTTTTAGCCTCAACCAGGTCCATGTAGGGAAAAGATTTAAAGAAAAACACAATGTCAGATTCCTGAAGTGTTATTGGAAGGAGACTCTCCTTCAAAAGGTAACATTCAGGGAGAGGGGTGAGTGTCATTGACAGAAGAATCAATGCAGAAGTCTGAAACAACAGGTATGATCAGGCAATTTAGAAAAGAGCGAAACAATTGAGTTCTTATAGTCAATACAATGTGGTGTTGGTTGGTAATCATATCGGTCCACAACCACTGTGTTAGGCATTGTCAGGCTCTTGTGGTGCAGCTGTTCCTTCATGCTCTGGTTTGGAGCTAACATCCTTTCTTTTTACATAAAACCAATTTCTGTTTAAATATTTGTGCATAAAAATGTAAATTTAAAAAAAATGTGCTAAATTAGCTTGCATTTAAAATGCATTTGTGATATAAAATTCTAGATGCATTTTGTAAAGATAATTATTTAACCTTTTGTGTCCATTAAACTGCATGATCAATTATTTTTATTGCATTAATTATTTTAGGCATTTAAAATACAAGCTTATTTGAAAAAAGTTTAAATGTTTTCCACTTCTTAATCATAACTTCAAATTAGCCAGATTAGTCATTACAAATAATATTCAGTGTTATGACGATGTTTCTCCTGCTCTAATTTGCAGACTGTTGGTTCCTTGCCTCTCAGGCAGATGTATTCTGACTTCGTAGGAAGCTCCCATCTAGTCCACTCTTACCACATGGTTTTTGGCAGGCAGTGGGTCTATTCTAGTTTTTCCCACAATGGGGCCCCGGAAACAACACAGGGAGTTAGAATAGTAATTTCCAGTATTAGTTCTGAGTCAGGATAAAACCTGCAATGGAATGGAATGGAATTTTTAAAATATCAGCTAAATATATGCAGCAAGAATGTTCAGCAGCAAGAATAGAATGTTCAGCAGCAAGACTGTTCAGTATATGGTGAACAAAGACAGCACTTAGTCTTGACCAGTTGCCTTTGAAAATTAACTCTGTAGAGATGTCAGCAACCTTAAGTTTATGCCAGAGTATGTATGAAGAAGATTTCTTGGAGTTAACACATTTATTTTACTAATCTATTGCCTTGATGTTGGGGTTGTTGTGGCGGGTTGCATGAAGAATGGCAGTGCCTGTTGAATCACTTGAAGTAACAGTTGTCTTTAATTGGAATATTCTTTGCTTCTTCTAGTGCAACATCTGGGTCCTCCAACTTTGTTGATGCCTGCAGGATCAGTAGCTAGTCAGCTGCCACCAATGCCGCAGGGTAGGATGATTTTCTGCAATAGTTTATTTTATTTCCATGACAATATTTATTTTGGGAGACAGCCAGCAGCGTTGTTTCTTTTTTTTTTTTAATGAATTCTCTGAAAAAATTATTTGTAAATTTAATCTCAGGTCTGATTAATTTGTCTCCTAAACTGTGTCATAAGAGCTAACTAATTGGGATTTTGCTGAAATGAGATGTCTTTTGCCAAAAGGTGCAGATCTCTCAGCTTTGCTGTAAACCAACCACAATTCATGTACCAGCTGTACTTTTAAGGGCAAACACAGAAGAAAAGGAAGAAGGACTTGTTGGGACATAGGGAAAATAATGTACACTTCATTTTGTATACACACACACCTAGAGAAAAGTGCTTTTTTTATACTGGTGATTGCTGCGTAAATATTATCCACAGATAAAACTGGCTGTCACCCAAAAATAACAATAAATGATGAAGAAATTGAAAATGTCACAAACTTTGAATATCTAGGCTCTTTAATAAACAACAATGTAGACTGTTCGACAGAAATTAAAAGGAGGATAGCCATAGCAATACAAAGATTGAACAGCCTTGAAAGTCTATGGTTAAGTACCAGCAAGGAGATAAAAATTCAAATTTTGAGAGCATGCATCTTCCCTGTGGCTACATACAGATGTGAGTCGTGGACTATCTCTCAGTCCTTAAAAAAGAGAATAGTGGCTTTTGAGATGAAATGCTATAGAAAGATTCTCAGAATATCTTGGACAAAGAAGATGAGAAATATTGACATCTTGAAAGACCTGAACATCAAGGAAGATTGTCTAATAAGCAGCATCCTTTCTCGAAAGCTGAAATATTTTGGTCATATCAAGCGCCACGGCGGATTGGAAAAAATTATAGCAGAAGGCATGGTACCAGGAAGGAGGGACAGTGGCCGACCGACATGAAGATGGGCACAGGAGAACTGGCGAGAGACCGAGTTTCTTTCAGGCAGACTGTGATGAGAGCAACGTTCTTCAAAGGACCTGCTACATTATGATGATGATGATTGCTGCTTTGTGTGTGTGTGTGTGTGTGTGTGTGATTTTAATTATATTCCTATAGTGAGGATGTTCTCTGAGGTTGCTACAGTGATTTGTGCCCTGAAGGCAAGACTATTTTTAAAGGTAATTAACTGCCAGATAATGCAACATCTGAAAAGCTAAATGATAAGCCAGTTAGAGGAAAAACAATTTTAGTCCTGTCTTTAGAGATCGGACTGTCTTTCCCCCCAATAAGATATCCCTCATTTATTCTGCACCCTAATTGTGTACTGACAAAGGCAGGGAAATACACAACAGTGCATTATGTCTGTCAGAAATTGAAGTTTTAATTTTTTTTTTTTTTTTTTTGAATAGGCAGTGAGAAAGATTACATATGTCTAAACCAGACCATTTGCAGAGTCATTTTAGACATAAAGAGGAGTTTATCCAGTACACCTTCTTCTTGACTTATGACATTTGCAACTTGCAACCATCTGCATTTACAGCCACACAGAAAAAAAAGTAAATAAAGAAACTTCATTGGCGGGGTCAACAAGTTCATGGAAGTGATGACTAGAGTACATTATGTCCAATAATTATACATGCATAGATTTCATTTTTGTGTTTTTTGTATAGATTTTGTAACCTGTTTGAATGAAAGTAGCGTTGACAGATATAAATTTGACTTAAGATCAGTTCTACTTACGACCTGTTAGTCGAAACAGAACTCCAGTCGAGAAGACCCTGTAATATTCTCACTGCATGCAGATGTTGGAGAAAGACAAAAGTGATGATGATGTAGTACTCTTGTCTCATATCACAGCCATGAGTAATGCTGCCACGTGTCCAGGTATGATTCTTCCATCAAGTTTGAGCCTAACCCCAGTGCCTCTTGTCAGCACCATGACGGTTTCAGCTGCCTCCATGTTGCCTCAACAGACAAGTAAGCTTTGTTTATGCATGTTTTAGTCTAGAAATTGAAACTGAAATGTACTGTCAAAAACAACAACACGGGCACAGTTTTGGTGGGTGTGAATAATATTTAATAAAACCCTAGAGAAGAATTAGTGTCCAGAGCAACAGTGTGTGGGCACTCAGCTTGATACCTTCTTCTTCTTCGGTCAACAAAGGTAGAGAAATAAGTAGAAAAGAGTAAGTACTGGCACCATTTGTATGGAAACTCGACTACTTAGGAAGGGATACCACATGTCCAAGTGCAATAATAATTCTTGATTCATTCTGTTGATGTATTATTGCATAAGAAAATGGAAAACACCGAGAAACTCTTAAGGTTTGGGACATAAAATCTGGCCAGATTATAGTTTTAATGATAAACTTTGGTTCTGTGCCAATTTTTTTAGCATTAATATTTGAATTGTCACCTATTCTTAGGTATTGTTAAATTTTTCAGTGACGTGTATGATTTTTCTGTTCTGTGTATGTATTTGTGAAAAATAATTTGTATAGACAAATCACACTGGGCTTCCTACTGATTCTTCCTATGATACTTTATGGATTCTTAGCTGGATTAATCTATTATCCCAATATGTTTAAAAACAAATTCAGCTTTGATGGGAATTCAAAATAATAACTACCCTGCAGACATTCTTGCTAGCCAATGCAGATTTCTGATTATTTATGCTATCCATAAAACACATTATCTGCAACCGTAATTCGCGGTTTAAGCCGAATCGAATGCAAGGCCTATGTGACATCTAATGGCACACAAAGGATAATGATGATGATTGTTGGTAATTCACAAGCATAATATACTGACATGCTTTAAACAAAAATTACCTTAATGTTTCATACAGAATGGTTTTATGCCACTGTTGCACAAGTCTTATGGTGCCGAAACCACATATATTTTAGACCAGTCCTCACACAATTTAGATTTGCAGTCAGTCCCTTCCCTGGCACATTTGTTGGTATCCATTTTATGCCTGGTCACCCTGACAAAATATTGTCGCACTGGAGACCAAAAGGATTAGAAGTTACAGATCAGTTTGCTTAATTAGGTAGCAGTTTTGGTTGCCAGGAAAACAGTTATCATACACGTTGTTGGCGAGGCAACAGCAACCTTTTAAAAGCCTGAACATTATATGAAACTTGAAATTCTAACGTTTTAAAACCAGTTACCTGTTTTCAATTAAAAAATTTGTTTTAACATGTGCCCATGAAATTTGGAGAATCACTAAAGACATGGAGGGAAAGTTGAATGCATCCAAAAAGGAAATTGATGAACATTAAATGGAAGGCATTCTAGAGAGGCAACAAAATTAGAAAAAATGTCTGGCCAACTGCAAGTATTGACATTTTAAAGACACAGAAGATAGTGATTTATTGGGCACATCCTGAGGATAGGCAAGCGGAGAATCACAGAACAAACACTTAGTTGGGAGACAGTTGGATTGAGGAGGTGAGGATGTCCAAAAGAAACCCTAAGACAAATATTAATGAGAGAGGCCAATTAGCTGGACTGGACTCCATTCGTGAAATTAAAACAATTGCGCCGGATAGAATGGAATGAAAGAATAGACTTGAGCACCATGTGGCATATAATGTGGTATAAAAAGGATGATGATGATAAAAAGTTTGTGAGTTACTTCACGAAAAGCTGCCCTAACCTTCATTTTTGTGCCAGTTTATGCAGGTGTTTAAGGGAATGAGCCTGCAGACTATCTTGCTGTCACTGCGGTTGCTATGGCTGATCCAGTACTGGATAGAAGTGATGCTATCAATGCCATGCGCTGCACATACCATACCGAGGAGCACTCCAAAGGATATGACCCTGTATCCCTGTCTAGACTGATCGACATAGGGGTGCAGCCTGGAGCTGCAAGAAATGAATATTTTTTCACTAAGGGGACAAGACGTTTCATTAACCAACACAGAACAGGCGTCATCAGTCATTTTACACTTGTGGAGCTTTTGAGGAGGAGATCGGAGCACCTATGGATTTGTCCAGAGTGCTGTGATGATAATCCTTTCTAATCACTATTCACTATGATGAAAAATTTAAGAAACCGACTGTCAATTATTAATAAGCACATGTGTCATTACATTTTTTAAATTGTTTTGTCAGCACATTTAGATATAGGAGGTCAACAGTCCATGATTCTAAGCCAGCAGCCTCCCCCTTCAGCTCAGACAGTTACCCAGATGAGCCTCCAGCAGCTGGTTCATGGGCCACCTCCAGTACCTCAGCCTGTTCCACCTCCAATGCCTGCCCCGTTGGGAGCTTATTCCCATGTGCAGCCTACAATGCATCTAGTCTCTCAGACATCAGTAGCTCCTCAGACTTTGATTCACGAGCAGGGACCTCCACTTATGGCTCCACCTCCACAACATGGTCAGCATATGTTGACCCCACAGGTAAGAAAATGGCCGGGTTATTTTACATTTCCAAAGTAAAAGTAAAGTAATAAAAAGTAAAGATCCCTTTACATGCCTTTAGGCACATCGGGCATATGGGAAGAGCGCCTATATTTTTACAGACCATCTGCACTAGGTGGGTAATGTGGTCAGCATTACGCCGGTTGTCTTTACTTCCCCAGGACATACATTCTGGTACCCATTTTAGGCTGGGTCGACCTGTGACGCCTCATACCATGACAAAAATCCATGCAGCCAGCAGTGGGTTTCGATCGCGGTACATTGGAATTACAAGTCGGATTCGCAACGCCTAAGCCACGGACACCGCACATTTCCAGAGTAGTTCTTCTTATAGTCCATGCCTTGTGGCAGGGCTGTTCAACTGGTGGTCCACGGGCCAAATCTGGCCTGGAGAGGCCTAGTAGGTGGCCCGCGGATCATTGCCAGCTGTATTGTATTAATGATCTTTCTATGCCGAGACTCGGGGATCTGGCCTGCGACAGTCTCTGTTCACAACATTTTGACTTATTTAGTAAACTTAGCTGATTATTCCTTCTTTAATAGCATTGGTAGTCATGTCTAACCACAACCTTCTGTCTTTTATACTTTGTCACTTCTGACACATACAGTCTTTCATGCCATGATGTTAAACTGTCCAGCATTTCTCTGTCACCCTCTGCCTCTTTTTTCCTTCCAGCTTTCTCGCCATTGCAATTTTCTGCTCATGACATGACCAAAGAATGTAGTCTCTTCTTCCTTTGGTAGTTATGCTGTCTGAAGTCACTTGTGATGATTATCCTTATAACTTAAAGCAAAGCTATTTACCTGTTTTCTTTGGGGTCAAAATGCTGAAAACGGTGATCGCCACGATTAATACAGTACAGCTGACAGTGATCTGTGGGGCACTTACTAGGCCTATGTGGGCTGCCAGTTGAAAAGCATGAGTTAGGGTGTCAGGTATATATTTTTTTCTCTTAATTCATATATGGAAAGCATACATTTTTATGACCAAAAAGGATGCACACAAGCTGTCCACCTTCCACCACACATGTCTACGTAGAATTATCAAAATTTTCTGGCAAGATACTATCGCAAACACTAACTACTTCAAGTCACAAACCAAGAAACTTTAGACAGTATGATAACCAAGAGAAGATGGAAATGTTATGAGAATGAATTCTGATATACCTGCTAAAACAGCTCTCATGGACACCAGAGGGAAAGAGAAAACAGGGGCGCCCAAAAACAACATTCAGACGAACGATGGAAAGTGATCTGAGTGCGGCATCTTTAACATGAAAAACTGCACTGAAGATTGCAAAGGACAGGAAAGCATGGAAAGTCCTCTCTGAAGCCTCATGTGCCACTAGGCATAACGAAAACTGATGATGGTGATACATTTTTATAAATAAATCTGGACATTTCTGCTGCTGGCAGTTATTACCTATTTGATTTATATTCCAGTACTTAGGAAGCAACTTGCCAGGTTGTTAAAATGCTGGGCTCTTATGTAAGAAGCCGGGTTGTAATATCCTCCGTAAAGTTATGGAAGTTTTTCCTGCTTTGCGGAAATACAAATTCTAAACCGCACAGTTTGTGGTAACTATCTTACCAACCCATGTCTCCTCAAATCCTTAGGGCCAAAGACCTTGATCAAGCTCTGTCACTCTCTCTCTCTTTCCCTTTTTCTCTCTTTGTGTGCTCATTTATGTATTTGACACCTTGCAGCACTTTGCTTACCCTAATTATGTAGTGGATGATGCTGTCACTGAATAGCAGATTTAGAGGTTACCAATTAAGATACAAATTTTAGCTGTCCATAATAGTTTGTATGTTGCTTAGGGCTTCCCTGTGTATACACATATATATGCTAGCACACATACACGTGTTAGCCTCCATACATGCGTTAGCTCACATACAAGCACTAGCACACATACAAGCACTAGCACACATACAAGCACTAGCACACATACAAGCACTAGCACACATACAAGCGCTAGCACACATACAAGCACTAGCACACATACAAGCACTAGCACACATACACGTGCAGCTCACATACATGCACTAACACTACATACATACGCTAGCTCACATACAAGTACAAAAGCATCAAAGTCAAAGACTGTTTCACATCAGTGGCACATCAGGCATTGAGGTGCTAGACCTATAACGTTTACTGATAGACTCTCTGTCTTGCTGGCCACTTTAAATTCCCTGAATGTTTTCTGGTGCCCAGTTTAGGCTGGATCTTCATGGGAGCCAAGGTCAATAAAACAAAATCGACACTTCTATGGATGGAGCATTATTTCCAGCGGAATAATATCTGCAACAGCAGCAGCAACAACAACAACAACACAGTTTTGAAGATTAATATATTATTAAATTCGTCTTTTCCATTACGTCCATTTAGCCTGGCCAGTCGATGTCATTAACATCGATTCAAGCTGGTCCGTCAATCTCACTGTCTGCCCCTACTTCGTTAGTGTACACTTTGACCTCAAGTGGAACCTACATCACTTCACCGAGGTTGGAAGAGCAGGTCAAGCACAGGTTTACTGAAGAGAAAGACAAGATACCTGAGAATTTGCTTGGGTATCAGGTATGTAACACAAGGCTCAAGCCAAATAACATGTTTTCAGTTAGAAAGATCCATGTATAAAACGTGTAGTTATTGAAGTAACGATAAACTCTCATGCTCTAATCAGAACATTCTTAGTATCTTTTTGCCTAGTAAAGTTAAGCTCCAGTTCTTTCATAATATCCTACCCTAGATGACGTCACAGGACATTCCAACATTTTAGAGGGTGGTAAGACTGGGTTTTTCAGCTTTCTGATACTTTAAACGACCCCAAAAAATATAGAACTGGCTCTAACCCCAACCCCTGTGCGTCCCATGAGAGAGTGCAGCCTAGGTCCCACGACTGCATGCAGCCTATCTGCCACAAACCGATATATTAGACTGTCCCGTGATCTATGGATTTCCCCTGTTTTGGGTAGGATATTGAGAAAGCACAGAAGCTCCTGATGTTTTTGGGGCAAATCTGTGTATGTAGACAGCAACAGGGGATCATTCTCTTATTAATCCACTTTATGGCCGCAGGCGTATTTCAAATGATAACAGATATTTCTATCACAAGTCAGTAAATCATGACTGTCTGTTTAAAGAAATCAGAATAGTAGGGAGAGTATGTGAAGAGTGATAGTAAATGAGGAAATGCTCCACCTCAGAAAATCAGATAAAAGAGCAAAAGACTACGTAAGAAAAAAAGGAATCAATGACATTAAATACCTGTGTTGGTTCCAAGGGTTTATTTTAAGGGGAAAAATAGGCCCACTACCATTTAATAAGCATGTGTTAAAAGGTGACTAGTTAAGGGTTTGCTGAAATCTGATGTGTTTGGCCAAAAGGTGCAGATATTGCAGCATAGCTGTAAACTACAAAACAGCCTGTCAGTTGTATTCTGAAGAGAGAATGCAGAAGAAGATGACATTAAAATCACTGTTCATTTACATGGAATTAGAGTAGTCTGTGCCTCATGTCGTGCATAGAGCCACCAGTTGTTCATCTCTACAGTGCTTGACTGCAAATGTGGATGGGAATATGATTATTGCCTGAAGTCTGTTTTCTACATTTGATCTTTTCAGAGTCTTTCAAATCAGACATTTAGACCTAATGTAATTGAAATACATTAACCAGTCTTGAATGTTTATCATATGCACACATTTCAACAAATATTAGTTATGTTGCATGATAATTTCCTGTTTGACACTGCCATCATTTTTTTTTAACCATCACAAATGGTCATAATGCCCAGAATTTAGGAGTAGCTAATGATTGGCCATGAGGCTAATGACAGACCTGATGTTAGAAGGTCTGTTAACTTTTCGCCAATATATCTTTGAATAATTACTTTGTGGACTTATTTTTTTCGGTTGCAGATTACAGAAAATTTGTTGTTGTCAGCATTTCATGACATTTCTTCACATTTTTTCCCCCCAGCATGGACCTCCTCACCTTGTGAATCTGATGTGTTCCAGCCCACCACCACAGGGAGTTCCCCCACCCATTTCCCAGAGCTTCATGCAACACCTGAGCAGCCAGCTCATGCAGCCTCCACCACACAGTCTCATCCATGTCACTCACATGCCCGCAGAAGAGGGTCAGTTTGCTCACCTTGGCCCACACACTATTCTACAAACAACTCAACAGATACTTCCCCCACCTGCTGATGGCCAGCAGTTGATGGCTGCTCCTCCGGGGCATCATTACTTGCCTCCACCTCACCACGGTCTTCCTCCCCATCTGTTGGGTCCTCCACCACCGGGCCCCACACATTCACCGTCACAGCACATGATGGCCAGATCTCAGAATGTGGACAGCAGGTAATTATAATGTTTAGTGTATAATTCCTAAAAGCTATTTAAATCCTATCAATATAAAATACACCAGAAAGAGGCAGTTTACATTCTTTGGTTATGTGGTGAGAAGGAGAAAACTGGAATACATTATAACAATAGGAAGGTTGGAGAGGCAGAGGGAAACTGAGAGAAAAGATGCTGGACAGTTTGACATGATGGCATGGAAGATCATCTGTGTCAGATGACACCAGTGACTACCAATTTCACACGGCATAGACTTTAAGAAGAAGTGATAATTAACAATTGACATCACAGCACTCAGGACAATCCCATGAGCGCCCGTCCTCCATCTTCGGCAGCAGCAAGCGCAGAGTTCCATTTCCAATGGTACAATTAACAGTCTGATTGTATATTCATCTTACATTTTCCCCGAGGGTTGATCATCGGCCAGATCCCCTGGTTGCTCCTCGCGGCGCCATTCCCACCAGATCATGATGATCTATTCGTGCCTCAGGCAGCAAACCTCCAGGTCTGATGGTTGGAGATCAGACCCTTGTTAAGCTGCAAGAATGACTGTCAGTCAGTCAGTAGCATGTCCTTTGCAGAACCTTGCTCCCATAATAACCCTTCAGAAAACTTCTTGATCACAAGCAAGATGTCCCGCGTCTGATCATCCGCCGCATCCTGCACCCATCTTCTCTTTGGCCTTCCTCTTCCTCTCTTCCTAGATACCAGAATGACTAGCCAGTCCTAAACTGCATCAAGAGACAGCAGATCAAATTGTTTGGCCATGTGTCAAGACTATCACCAGATAGTACACCACACTTACACCTAATGGAAGCAGTCTAGAGGCCGAACATGCAAACGATGGATAGATGGAATATTCTAGGCTAAAAGTAGCAGTATGTACATAGGGAGATGCATGAACGCCTATGCCAGCTGGCAAGGTACATGGTGATGATGATGATGAAGCACAAATACTCACTAAACCAGTTTATAGTGTATGCACACACAACTTTTCAAATCTGGCTGAATGGATGAGTTGTAAATGAACAGTGCATTTTATTAGTTCTCCAAATCATTGAACTTTCGGCGGGTTGTCATTGTGAAACATTAATGTAGATACATTGACACATTCTAGTTTCAAAGGGTAGAGTTTTGCTATTTACCTCACGCTCTAAAGGTCGTGGGTTCATTTCACTGCGGCACCGCTCAGTTCACGAGTGCAATTTTTCTAGCACAGACAGCTAGCTGTTCTGTGGAGAAAGACTGAGCCATATGGATAAAACCCGGTGAAGTGAAGTCAACTCTTTCACATTTACCTTTACCTTTAGGGTAGAGTTTCAAGACATTATAATGATGTGTTTCTTTTGAATGAAATTGTAAAAATAGGTTATTATTTTTGTTTTAAGATTCTTACGAGGCGCAAGTGTTAAAAGCTAGGTTTTGTAAAGTATTTATTGTCAAGATTTGAGAATTTCTCATTGTGAAATAATTTCACAGACCTCCAAGCTGCAGTATCTTGCCCACAGTGTCTACAGTGATGATCCCACCTCCATGTCTTCCACTGTTAGCTGGCACACAGCTTGGCGAAGGAGAGAATAAAGAGGATTCTAAAGTTTTACCAGAAGTTTCTTGGGGTAATGCCGGATTCTTTTCACCTAGCTAGGTTTTAGCATGGAATTACAGTCTAGCTGTAAACCACAACACAATGTGCCAACCACCTTTTACTGCCAAGCACAGAAGAAAAAAGAATATCTGCTCATTGTTCTTGTCCAAATTTGGCATGTAGCTAAACCTTCCAAGTTTTTATCTCTGTATTCCCTTTGCTCTTTTGCATTAAACTGTGTCAGCTGTTACTAAGTTTTCAGGTTTTTTCTCATCTTGACCTGCCAATATATCTGGACTTTCTACAACTGACTCTCTAATCAGCTAATGGTCTTCATTTGTTTCATCTGAGGACAGCCGTATTTGTTTTTCTGTCTGTGGTATTCTTTGAGAAAATGGGGACATCTATGAGAAACACTTTTCAAATGGTCACAAACTGGGCACGCAGGCCTTTCAGTCAGTCAACCCTTCCGAACATTCCTCTTTCACAGCAGTTGAATTTGATCTCTGAAGCATGTTATGTTCATGACTCCCCCTGTGGTTTCTGAGGCCTCATTTTAGGAGGAAAAACATAGACCCACTGTCTTTCTAACAAACATGTCGTAAAAATGGATTAATTAAGGGTTTTTCCTTTGAAGTCGGAGTGCATCTGTCTACCCGCAGGGCGCGGAACCAACAATCTGCATGCAAATAAGCCAGATTTGTAAAATAGATCTGCATACAAAACTCAAGTTCTGGAACAAGACCAGAAATGGACAAACTAGCAGAACTTTCCACCAGAGTTAACAGTTGGGGAAAGAAACAAGGCCCTTATGGACCTCGATCACGTCTCCCTTGTCATGCTAAAGTTGACCAGTGCAGAACCAGCTTTTTTGAAGGAAACTTGGATTACATAGAATTGCTGAATGTTGACGTCTTATTGAGAAAGTCCACCTATACAGTGATATGACTTAAAGAAAAAAAAAAAAAAAATTCATCATATCAGTCATAGTATCCTGTCCACATTATCTACAGTGTTGATTCCACCTCCATATCTTTTACTGTTAGATGCCACACAGCTTGGCGAAGGAAAAAATTAAGAGGATTCTACAGTTTTACCAGATATTTGCCCCAGTATCATTGAAAATATTTGAGTGTGTGAAAAAAGATATCAGATATTGCTGAAATTAAAGCCTATAAGACAGGCTATAATTCTGTCAATATTCTAACACATATAACATGCACTTCTTGGTGCTCATTGAAAACAGTAGATGTTCGTTTAATATTCTGTTTCAGCCCTAACTCTTTCAGTCTGAAGAAGTTACGAAATTTAATTTTTTTTTTTAAAACACAGACAGCATCAGGGTTGATGCTGGGGTTGGTTCTGCAACGTCCCATAAAGCACATGCAACTGACTTGAACCACAGACAGCTGTACTTACTTAAAAGTCAGAAATATTTCGGTCTGAAGATATTAACATAGAGACACTGTTGGACAAAAGTAGCAACACTAATGAATGAGCGAAACTAAACCCCACCAGGACCTTACACTGAACCATTAACACCCTGTGACGCAAAGTGCAGAGCATTATTACTCGGACGAGAATTTCTCAGGTCAAGTCCCAGAAACCTCTTTCAAATTTAAGGTTATATTAGGGCTCGCGACGGTTATGAAATTACATGGTGACGCTGTGATTATAAAATATTTTGTGTCCCGTATTGGGACAAATTGTTCGATATAATATGTCAGACATAAAGGTTTTAGTACGAGTGAAGTCAATAAGAAAAGTCACAAATGGTCATTTAAAAAAACACTGTAAAGATTATAACAATTTGAAAACCATTAATTTTTACACATACACTGTCCCTTTATTTTTAAATTCAATTTCCACCAACATAGAGGTACTTGTCTCATTGTTTTATTAGTCCTTCCAAACCTGCTGCATAGAACTGCATGCTCTGTTTTCTAAACCACATTTTCACTTCACATTAACTTCTGCCTCATTCGCAAAGTGTCTCCTGCCAAGGTGGGTTTTCAGTGGGAGCTTTTGGAACATCCACCTTACAGACTTAGCTCCTAGATATTTCCACCTTTTTGGTCCATTGAATAAACAGCTTTCAAGTTATTATCATTTTGAGTCTTTAACAATCATTTTGACTTACTTTTTGACTCCCCCTCAAAAAATATCTGCCTGTGATTGGCAACAAGACAAGGATTGTGCCATGCTATAATTCAGGCTCTCATGCTGGTGTCGGGTTTGATCTCAAGGTAAGGTGATAGAGATTTTCTGTCAGGGACTGAGTTAAACATCCTGACCTGCACAGTCTGTGGTGACAGCATTAATTATTTAGTCCGAAATCCTCAGGCTCGTGAACTTCCTGTCCCCCACCTGTCTATGCCGCCCTGAAAAGTGGTAAATACAGACAGTAGTGACATTTATTTTGGTAACGATTCAGAAACCTTTAGTTCTTAGCATGGTACTCCAGAGTTAAGGGTTCCCCTGTCTGTCTATTTGTGTACGTTAGATTCTGTTAGATAATTTAATGTGGTATTGTCATTATGGTTACTTTTTTCCCCCCTCCAGAAGCAGGCTCCAAACATGGTAGAACAAGTCCTTCTTTGCCAGAACCTGATAAAAAGAAAATGAGAGGTAAGAACAGGCTGGATCAATTCATTCTTTTCATACCAGGGGACTCACTATATGTTCATTGATTTCTCTTTATTTATATTGTACAGATTTAACTTTTTTTCCTTTGTCCGATTCTTTAGTAACGTTATCACATTCTGTCTCCAGTGTTACGAAAATTTCTAATGTTCCGAAGCTATAACTTGCAATTCCATAAGAGTAAAAAAAAAAAAAAAAAAACCCAGTAACTATGGTATACAAATGTTACTATAGACAGTGTTGAAGTAATCAGGTAATGGCAGTTCAGAAATCACAGCAAATGGGTTACCCCATAGTTGCTTTGTTCATGTGCCAATAAAAACAACACAGAATGCCTGTTTCTGACCCTTGTGGAAAAAATTGACACAATCTGCAGTCCCAGTAAAGCCTATATACACACATGAAATGAATAAGACAGCCATCGGGAGTGCCAACACCAACAGTCCGGCACTAGAATTGCAGTTTATTGTCGATGGAAACACTATATACAACAAATCAGTTCTTACACACACAGTTAATTGTAAAAGTCGCCACCAGTTTTATGGTAACAGGCCACTCCCCATTTTCAAAATCTGCAGTTCGCAACGCACATCACTTCCCTGTTGAAGTAACAACTACCCAGACTGACACTTAATTCGCTTGACAGCAACAAATTATTTAAGTCCATTTATATTGTATATCTTTTCACTTTTCTGAAACTGCAAGGTTGTTTGTTACAAGTACTTCTTTTTCATCTATACCTATTGCTGAAGACCATCTTACTTCAAATTAATTGTATTTTTGACCTGTGTTTCAATTTTAGTTGCTTTAGAATGTTTCTAACCTCTGTCAGATGCATTAATTCAGTATGGCTACACCATCTTATGCTGATTGATCTAAGTCACTGGTTCTAAACCATCCTAATGCCGCAACCTTTTAATACCGTTCATGTTGTGGCGACTCAGAACCATAAAATTATTTTAGCTGCTACTTCATTACTTCAGTGAATATGTGTTTTCAGATGGTTTTAGGCGAACCCTACGAAAGGGTCATTTGACACCCCCCCTCCCCTTCCCCCCAAAAAGGGTCGCAACCCATAGGTTAAGAAACGCTGATCTAAGTGGAGGTTGAAGAACCATCCTACGTGTACATACACGTTCCCCATTCCTGCTCTATTTCTTAAGCCATGCTGGTTCCAATGCAAGTATAATCTAGTTGTACTATTATCAGGTTTTCTCCATATTAGCCTTGTGACCAAGCATATATGGTCTTGAACGTATTTTCCCTAATGGAAACTCCTGTATGTTCCTGCTGGTACCTCTCTCCTGCTCTGTTTCCTTGGTCCATTGAGTTCCAGTGCAAGGATATTCTATATACTTTGTGATCAATGGTTTCTTTAAAACAAAAAAGCTGTGATGCAGCATGCATAATCTTCAACATAGTCACTCTAAAGCAGTGATTTTCAACTCTTTTTTTTTCCCCAAGCGGCACCTCCTTGAATTTATTGCAAGACACTGCCCCCCACTTGAAATAAAATGATTAAAAAGAGGCGAATAAGAATAATCCAAAGCGCTGTTAATTCCCCTAACCCCCTGTGTGGGTTCCAGGGCCCTATTGTGGGGAAAACTAATTAGGGGCTTTCTTTGAAGTCGGAGTGAGTCTGCCAGAGCGGCAAGAAACAGCAAACAGCACAAAATAATCCAAGCAAAAGCCAAGCCAGGCAAGCTGAAGTCCAAATGGACGAACAACCAGGACTTTATGCCGGAACTTACAGCCAGTGAACAAAAAAAGACAAAGAAATGCTATTAAAAAAAACTTGAAGAAAAATATCGACATAAATCAATGTGTCAAATAACAAAAGAAAAAGTCTCTAACAGCTGATAATTTCCTGTCCAAATATCAGAGTGGATGGTTATCACTGTTTTGTCTTGATGATATCTGCTATGTTTGGTCTCTTGATATCTGATATTTTGGTCTGATGTTGGACTAGGCACAACAAAGATCACTCTGCACATTAAGTTTAAAAAAAAAAAATTATTTTAATTATTATTTAACATTGGGGGGGGGGGGGGGGGGGTGGGTGTGCAGTATAACAAATGAACTGGACTTCAAAAATACCCTTGCAATTTCCTAGGGGAGATACCCAGTCCAATTCCAGTTGCGGCTGATTTGGCAGTAGACTGCCTTGCATTGTTTCTGACATTGGTTTCAAGAGCTGACTGTTCAGAAGTAATGGTAAACAGTTAAACATAAAAATTTACTGGTAAAATCACAATCAGCTAAAAAAAAAAAAAAAAAAAACATTGGTAGGGTTAGTTCTTCAGCGCTTTGTAGAGGGTACACAACTAATTAACTATTTTCAGGTATTTCTCCATGTAAACCTTGTGACTGAGCATAAATGGTCTTGAATGTAGTCTGTCTAAAGGAAATATCCTTATCAGAACCTAGCATCAGAATGTTAAATAATTGCTGACATTTTTACTTGATGCTGTCTCAGGTGTGGGAAAGAACAAGCACAACTCCCCGCAACAAGAACAAGATAATGAGACTACAGAAGGGACGGTTGTGAAAAACAACAGTGGTGGAGAAATGCATCCAGCCACTCCTTCATATCAAGGACAGCCAGTTCGATATTGCTTGCCCTCTGACCCTAATCTACCTCCGGCATCACAGGAATCAGTGTTCTCCCTTCCAGCAGCTGTGACCGCATCATTTCCTCCTGGGCATCATTTTCTGCATCACTTGGATCCTAATCTGCCTCAGGTTCATATTGCTCACCAACACTTGCATATGGAGGATGGTAGACCCAATGGTCATCCAACGCAGATTGTTATAGAGCATCCAGGATCTTCTGGTGCACCTATCCCTGTGCACATTTCCCATGCCCTTGAAGGTGCCTCACACCAGGTTCTTATCCAGCATTCAGGACGACAAGCCATCCAGGTAGATCACCAAGGAGTACCTATCACAGGAGCACCAGTTGAACAGATGCACACAATCTCAGCTTCCCACCCTATCCAGGCTCCTGTTTCACAGGAGATTTATGAGTTTGATGTTGGAACACAGCAGGTTCCTCAGGCTGTAGCCCAGTTTCACCAAACATTTGAGCATATTACCATATCCCAGTCCAAGCCCCCCGGGGAGCAGATGCTGCCTCCAGGATCTGCTGTCATCGTTTCCAGTACTCAGCATTTCCCGCAGTATTCGGTAGCCTTATCATCATCAGCCGCTCCACCTTCAGTTTCATATGCCTTGCAAGCATCCTCTCCCTTCTCGGTTTACACTCAGCCAGTGACACAGCATATTCAGAGGCTACCCGATGGCCACCTGACCAGTGTGCCTCCCCCCTCTTACAGTCTTGCGCAGCAGCCGGCAGTGACATCCAACTTTCAGACTCACTTTACAGGGATCCAGCCTGGCCACTCCCAGTCAATCCCAGGGCATATTCTTCAGCAGACGCAGCAGCCGCCACCTCCACTGCCACCAGTTTCTCAGACTGCATATCAGCCCCATCCCCAAGGGATTTCATATTGGGTTTCACAAGTCTAGTCTCCTGTTTGCTTGCTTACAAGGAGAACATGTCCTGTTTCGGTCACTATCAGCACCAGTTGTTTCCTTCCTGATAGGTCTCATCATTATCATGTGCTGTGCTGAAAAGCATAGGCTGTCATGTTTTGCTATCCCATTCAAACATCAAAATCACAGATAGTTCACGGGTAGTAACCTAGAGGTATTGTATCCTCTGTCAAAGGAGAAGTAAGGTACCGCCTTGCCTTCCTTTGGTAAGTTGGAGCACCTGTTCAGCCCCTCTGTCAGAGTAACTTCTAATCACAAGGGCAGGTGGTGGATTGAGCTTTAGAGCAGCTGACAAATAGTTATTGTTCATGTTCTCAAGATTCCTGAGGGTCGGCAGTGGGTCACACTTTAGTGATAGTGGCTGTGATCCACCAACGAGTTCATCCACTGCCAAGAAGGAAAGCAACGGCAAACTACCTTCTTTTAGTTAACAAGAATAGTCATAATTTCACTACTTGGTAGTAAACACATTCTCATCAGCTGATTTATGGACAGTATTCACATTTTTTTAAAGAAGTGACAGTGGCTATGATCCACTAACCAGTTTGGCCACTGCCAAAAAGAAAAGCAACGGCATCTAACCTCATTATGTCTCGACCTGGAGTGTGTAAAGGTAAAGGCCTACTGTAAATGTCATAGAACTATCTAGTTTCATCTGCAGATTTTGTTCAGAAAACAAATTATTTTGCTTTTAAAAAAAAGTGTTTTCACTGACAATAGTGACCACTTTTGAGGGGGGTGGCAGAGGTTACTAAACCTGAGAATTTAGGACCATGTGGACAGTGCTGGCTGGTCTTTTTGAAAATTTTATAAATTGCGATTGTGGATAGTCTGAAAGAAAAGGGTGGTGCACTGGCTTGCCATTGTGGAGTGTATGATGGGAAAGGGAAGTGCACTGGTTTGCTATTGTGGATTGTATGATGGGAAAAGAAAGTGCACTGGTTTGCTATTGTGGATTGTATGATAGGAAAGGGAGGTGCACTGGTTTGCCATTGTGGAGTGTATGATGGGAAAGAGAAGTGCATTGGTTTGCCATTGTGGATTGTATGATAGAAAAGGGAGATGCACTGGTTTGCCATTGTGGAATTTATAATAGAAAAGGGAGATACACTGATTTGCCATTGTGGATTGTTCAATAGCATAGATGAGTGCAAAGCACTTGATGATGATTGAAGAGACATGAGGTTTGTGACAATTAGAATTTTGGGATGCTGACGTTAAAAAAAAAATTGGGACATCTCAATGTTTGTACATTATTATTAATTTGTGTATTCTTTTTTTTATGTATGTTCTTGTAGTTTAGAAATATATGCTGAGAGAGAGGTATATTCATGGAAACTGTTGAGATAATTATGTTTCAGAAAATGAGAGGAATATTTCTCTTTAGTAAATTTAATTTAGTAAATTTAAAGCACAAGACAAATACAGAAAACCGCGACACTAGGCTACAACCTGGAGATGACAAACGAAGAGGGCAAAAAGAAGTAAATTTGAACAAAGAAGACACAAACAGTAGATTGCACTTCTGACCAGTTTTGTGTAAACAAAAAGACATTGTAGTGTACCCGCGCTGTCCCTGATAAAACAAGCAGCTACTTTTAATAGTGGTTTATTTTTTTCAGTTGTGAAGAATTATTTTATTTGCTTACTTGTTACTTTCATGTGTACCTGATTTGAAATAGCAAAATATGCCTGGCAGTAAATTCTACAATCTGTTGTGTCTTCATTAGTTCAAATGATTCTTTGTTGATGTTTATGTTTTCCTTCACTGTACATCTGCAGGTGTTTTATTTATCAGCAAAGTGTTTTTGTCTTCAGAGTGTCACTGTTACAATACGTTTGGGAGCTGATCAGTTACCATAAAGTTGCATCTTGCTTGTTGTGTTTGCTTTTATTACAGTATAACCCAATCAGTCACCATGTAATTGAAAATACCAAATTCTCATTCTGTGCCTGATAGAAATGATAACAATTGTTTTGGTTCCAGGCCTGATAGAAATTATAACAATTGTTTTGGTTCCAGGGCTCCCATTTTGGGGAAAACAAACGAGTGGACTTTTTTTTTCAAAGGGTCACAAATTGGGCACGCAGGTCCATCTTACATTTGGCCCTTCCAAACACCCGTCTTTCACATTTTAAGAGAGGAGAGAGAAGAAAGAAACTCCCTGTCCCTACAGGCATATCATTGGCTAATTAAGAATTTGCTGAAATCGAATGTGTTGAGATAAAAGGTGGCAGATTTTGCAGCCTAGCTGTAAACTACAGCACAATCTGCCAACTGCCATTTTAAAGGTGACCGCAGAAGCGCCATGTTGTATCTGTTCGTTAGGTTTAGCTCTTTCAATCCCAGAAGATCATAAAAGATGTATCGCAAAGGGGAGGGGGGGGGGGGGGGGGGGGAAAGCAATAATGAGAGCAACAGTATTGATGTTCTACGTCTGCAAGGGTCAGTTAGACTATTCCAGAGTTTTTTATGAACAGTGTTTCTCAACCTGTTTACACTCACAGCCCTCAAAAACAAGGCTGACAAAAAATGTAGATAGCTGTTTGTTTGTTAAATCCGATGTCACAAACTTAACAGTTTTCAGCAAATGGGGCGACTGCTGCTGCTTAGAGATTAAAAATGCTAATACAGCTGGCTGGAGTGTTGTTTCTGATAAATGAAGAGATGCAATATCATTCGTTTAATTACTATTTTTGGTTTTTATTATTGACGTGCCTGAGAAAGCCTTTTTTTTTTTTACATAAATAGAAAGTCCTTAAGGTGTTAATCTTACAGGATTAAACCACCTAGCCTACCTTGTAACACGATTCTCTACTTCTGGAATGCCTCGCGGCATCAGGGCAGGAGGAGATATCTGGAACGGGTCCTTCTGTTGTTTATTTCCTTCCTCAGTCTAAAGTAGAATAGCAAAGCAAAGAAGAACAGAAGTGTACATTTTTTGCAGGGGAGACATGGTGGTGCAGGGCTTAGACACTTAGCTGCCATTGGAAAGGTGTCTAACTTAAATCACATTTGTGGCGCATTATTATTATTAACCTGAGTTTCCTAGTTCAACCTAGAATGTCAGTATTTTAATGTTTTTATTTCGATGAAAAAACTAGATATTCCAAATATCCAGTCTTCAGGGCCTTAAATCAGCTCTCTAAATGCTTATTTATTGTTCAGATGTCTGTATCGTATAGTATTGTTGACTGCCTTTACTTCCCAGTACCCACTTTAGCCAAGATACTTGTAAATAATCCATCTTGAGGTGGGTTTTTACCCAAGACCTTTTGAGCCAGCAGTCTAGCCACTGTGCTGCTACAGCACCCCTAAAATAAATCCTTGAGGTCAACCAAAATGTGTTTTCTCTATAGTGCATTGACATTTTTTTCTATAATAGAACATTAACAGAGGAAGGAAGAGAAGTGGTCACCGAGACCAATACTAACATGACCTGCGTGTGTGAAGACCTCCTGCCAGTCACTTCACTTGCCTGTGGCAGTTTCTGTCATGTGGTTGATTGATTACCTTGTACCCTTATATGGGTGTGCCACTGGAAGACTACCATGTGAGTCCAGTATCTGGCCATGTAGAAGGTTCTAGAACAAGTAACGTACTTCTCTCTAGGACATGTAATAACAGTTGAAAGCAGAAGTTATGAACAAACTAATCAGAAAAAGAATAGGAATGGTCAGTGGTAGATTAAACTTCAAGGACATAAACAAAAACATGAATTAATATCTTGAAAATAAACATCACAGGTGACAATTGCCAAATGGGTGTGATCTACTATAATCTCCCCAGCCAAACTAGGTCATGATCCATTGATAGATTTTTTTTACTCGTCTGCTGTCTCGAGGGGGGGGGGGGGGGGGGGTGGTTTATGGCTATATTGTTTACTTTCTGGGTTGTCTTGCATTTACGATTTTCTTCAAAAAAAAAAGTAGAATGCCTGTGACATAGGTTGCAGCACTCTCTAGGGAAGTTGTGGGTTAGACCCAGTTTGAAAATGTTTTTGCAGTGGTAAAAGCTCTGGTATGCTTAAATATGCAACACGTGATATGAACACATTGCCGAACTCCCCTCTAGCAGTGTGTGAAAGTTGGGTGACTGGAGGTTGACCTATCAGGAGTGAGCTAGTGTGTACCGTGGGGAGATTATCATTGATCATACCGCCAAATGTTATGTATATTCACCACCAATATATAACGCAAAAACCTGTGAACAGTAAACAAGCATTTCAAGAGTGAACTGACGTGAGCTGAAGATTAAATCTACAGAATAATATGTGGTAAATTTTACGAAAATCTCCCCAGAGTTAGTCCCGCCTATTTACGCACTAGGTTTCTTTTCATTCATAGTTTGTTAGGCTGGTCAACTTTGCTGAAGGTTACAGGGGTGACCTGCTCTACTGTTTGCTCGAAAAGCTTTTTGCGTTATCTTCCATTTACGTTTTTATTCCGAGAAAGAGAACGCCTGTGACATAGGTTGCAATACTCTTGTAGGGGGGTTTGTGTTAAGGCCAGTCCTGCATGTTTTTAGAGCGTTAAAAGCGCTGACATGCTAAAATATGGAACACGAGATATCACCAGTATCGCAGAACACCCCCGTAACCTTCAGCAACATTTACGGGCCTGAGCAACTACCAATCAAAGGTAACCTAGTGTGTAAATAGGCGGGGATAACTGTTTGGGGAGATTTCCATAATATTTACCAAATATGTCATGTTTACTGCAACATGGAAGGAAATATTATGATGTACACATGTTCTGTGAATGAAATGAGTTTTGTTAAAAGCTGTCAAAGACAAAGAAATGTGGATATGTTAAAAAAGATTTAATACTGTTACAAAAGCCTTACGTAAAAGAACATTTTTAAGGAAGGTGGGCAAGAAATAGTGATGCAAGTGGGAGGATAAAACAGAGGTGAATGAACAGCAGTGTGAGAGAGTGTACAGTCACGGTGGCACAGT